ATAAAAATAAAAATATGATCTTCCTGGACTTGGACGATGCACGAATGATTTGTTACACGTCGAGCGAATGCAATCCGACACGACACTCGGGTCAAAGACCGGTTCGCGTTATTTCGGAAATATTCGCAGGGCGGCGCAGGGACCGCGGGTGGGGCGTGTTGCGGTCTGGACCACGATGATCTCATCCTATATTCTTTTATTTGGGAACTTTAGGTCTCACGTTACAGTGTATTCGTCATTAAAATTAACATCCATTCTGCTGCTCTATGGATTTGCCCGGGTTGAACAATTGTTTATATTATCTCCCCCGCCCGACAGACCCGCGGCCGCCGCGCGGACGATATTGGTTACTGTGAGTTACTTCTAAAAAGAAGATAGACATTTGCTGTCGCAGCCTTATTTTTAGAACTTTTCAAGAAGAACAATTCAGTCATACATGATCTTCGTGCTACTTTTACAAGAGCCATGGTAGCACAGATGGTTGACGCTCACTGTAAATATAACAGAACGCGAGTAACCCGGGTTCGATCTCCGCCGGCACCAATGCAATTGTTAATTGCAATTTTGAGCGCTGATTTACCACGTGCTCGGCGGTGAAGGAAAACATCGTGAGGAAACCTGCATGTCTGAGGAATAAGAAAAAATATTTCGAGGACATGTAAAGTTCGACAACATGCATTGGGGCAGCGCGGCGGACTATTTCTTGCCCTAAAACCCTCTCAGAAATAAGGGGAGGCCTGTGCCCTGCAGTGGGCCGTATATATAGGCTGTAACTACTTTTACCATTGAACCAGCGCACACTGTGGAAGTTCTCAAAAAGCACGTCTTTTTCCGACATTGTATGGCAACTGGAGTAATGTACCTTTCAAGTGGCGAAAGAATTTTTGCAATAGGTTATAAGTAAATAATAATAGGTTCCAGAAATTACCTTATGTATATTCAAACTCATAAAATTCGCGCAATTTTTTTAATATCAGTTTAGATTTTCCGATTAAAATTTTTTACACAAAGGAACAATACCTTTTGATCTGCCTTCAGTTGCTATTGTAGCGAGATCGCTACTTGTACTTGTTTGAAATACCTTTATATTTACCTTCATGTCCTTTGTATTATATATTATTATGTATTTATATATATATATATATATATATATATATATATATATATATATATATATATATATATATATATATATATATATATATATTATTATTATTATTATTTTGATATCTAGTAAAAAGAGTAGATCTTTGATAAGGTCCGTAATCATTTATTTATACATACATAGCCTTTCAAACGTTTCTACTATAGGCAGTCTATAGCGGAGGTCTATATTAAATATAGACCTCGGCTATCGACTGCCTCGTAGGGGGAATATTAGCCATAGTTGGCACGCTTTGCAAGCGAGTTGGCAACCGCAGCTTTTTTAACATTTTGGGTTGTTATTAGGGAGGTTCTACTTTCTTTTCTGCTGATCGTACTGTGTCATTTCCCTTCCTCCATCTTTCATCTTTCTTTCTTCTTTCGACACTCGCGGGAACAGAAAATAGTATTAAATAGTATACTGTAAACAGACTTCTTAATTATTATTTTGTTTACAATTGCAGGGTTTGCTATTGTTACTATTGTTGTTGCTATTGTTGTTCGGAGTCATTTCATAAGCGATCTAATTGTATTATGTTATTTTTACTATTAGTTTACCCATTTAGTTTCCAAATTTAGCAGTAAATCAGAAAAATAAAACAAAAGTTAGAATTCATATTAGCCATAACTGTGTTTTGGCTAAGGTTTTTCAATATATATTTCACTATAAACTAACTTTGTACACATAAAATAGTAGCTTGTAATAAATTTAATTACGAAACTACATCTTATTTTACATTCATGGTAATATTAGTCTAATTATATTTGTTGCTTTGTATCCTAGTTCCTTTATATTTTTATACTTAAAGAAACAACTACGTACTTAATTTAAATAAAAGAGAGTGACGACAAACTTGTCCAAGTATCATTTTATCTGACTTAAAACATAATAGTGAAGCTCGTTTCTCATTGAACCTTTTGTCATGTTTCTATTTTCATCCACCTCCTCTTCAACAACAAAACATTCCACTTCTGAGCATTTTGGCCTCTCCGTGCTAGGATTTGCCACAGCCACGGCTGGCAATGTTTTGACGATCATAGTATTTGATGACACTACTCTTCGCACCTCTGACGCTACTTCTTGTCGCCTTTCTGAATATTTCATATTTGCTTAATACGACTAGAAGGTATACAATGGCATTTATCGAAGGCCGTAAGTTTTTTCAGGCATTTCCCAAAGTCGCATCACACGATACTCACGGGACGAGATGGACGCCACCTCACAATTCTACTACTTTGTATATTTAAGGTTTTAACTTGCCTTGTAATCGCTTAATAAATTTCTAGATATGCTTTTTACTGATCAGTAGGATTATTATTTAAAAAAAGCTGATGAACATATAATCTATTTCTTATCAGTTTTCGAAATTCCTATATATACATATGTTTTCTTCTCTAGTTTTTTTTTTTTAAACTTGTGTAACATATTTAAAGGTAGTACTAATTACAATGACTCGTAAGCAAAGAAACAATCGGTTACCATACATGTGTCGCATTACAGAACAACGACGGCACAAGGCCTACAAAGTGCACCGCACTCAGCAGCGCAGTTTTTATTTGCTTTTCCCTTTACTTGTTCGCTTAGTTATGGATTTCCGCCGACAAAACCGCGTGCGTGCATTGGAACTCGTTTCGAAAAGCTTTCTTTAAATCCCTGTACCGTAAGAAAATAAACAACTTTTAAATAGTTTTAACGATATTCGAATTATAGCTCACATTATTACATTAATTTTTAATTTATAGCACTGCCAATTGTACTGATAATCTGTCTTCGTTATTACATTTTATTAATTCAATTAACAATTTGAATAGCCAACATGTGTGAGTCAATTTCTTTAGAAAACGTTAAATATATTAACCTCGTTCTTCCAGGGACATGTGTATATTGTAAACATGTTCGGTACGTTTAATAAGGTTTCTTAGAATCTGTTAGTGGGGTAACGATGTATTTATTCGCGAATATATTTACATTCAGCGTGTAAATGGGATGCTGGAAGAAAAATATTTGATGCGATCCATATGGTCAGATAATCCATATGGATAGGCGAGAGGAAGATAGTTGCGTATCTCGGTATGCTGACGGTGGCTCTGGCCACTGGATATTCAGCACGTCGCGGTCCGCTGCCGGTTCTGGGAAACACTCCCCGCACGGCCTTGCGATGGAGCATCGCTCAAATGTTTGTTTTACTTTCGGACGATTCAAATACGGCTACTGCAAAATTTTACTGTTCGCGTGAAACGTCGGCTCCAAGCGACGTTTTGTTTGCGCAAACTACATTCACCGGACAATTTACACCTGGTTTGGTTCCGCCCGATTTCTAGGTGTATAAACATTTACCTACTTATTAGCCTTTTCTTTGGTAACATGCGATACACAGAACATGATTATATGCTCATACGGGCTCTATAAATAACATTCTGGTTCGTTATATATAAGGTGTCATCAAGTCGTATCCGATTAAATACCTAAAAGATATTATACATATTTGAAATTATTTAGCTTTCTTTTAATTATTTTCTTTTCTCTTCTTCTTTCTTGCTTTATCCCTTTATATGGGGTCAGCTCCTCGTTTTTATGCGCCAAGATATTCTATCTTGAGTCGTCTGTGTATCAAGATGTGCTTGTTCCAGATCCTTGGTTACGGTTGTCCATCACGTGGTTAATGGGCGTCCTCTGTCTTTCTTTTTGTCTGGAATTTTCTTTTAATTTGGACCTTTCTTTTGATTAGTTTATAGAATAGATAATAGATATGGGTTTCCATGGACCATGACATTTATTTACACTGTGTGCTCGTTCATCAATCCTACTTCTTTAAAAAAACATAACGATTGGCCGTACTCGCTAGTGTGTTCTTGTTTTATCGGGCTATAAGCAATTTGCATCAGGACTCCCCTGTCCTTATTCAGTGTTCTAGAATACAATCGATGGCTACATCGTGCTCCCAGTGTTCCCGAAGCTCAAGTATCGTGATTTCCTCATTCGAGAGCGTTTGATGTTACGTGTTTCGCGGAAGGCAACTGTCAACGGCAGCTGCGCATCGTGGCGCAACGGCTGCGCACGGAACAGCGCTCCATTAGCCAGTACCGCGAATTGTTGCCGCCACGGACCTCATCATATTCAATTGATCTCATCGCGTAATAACATTACGCCGAAGATATTAGTGCACATGATTAGTCAGCGCTACGTGCAAGTAGCGATTTTTTTTTAAATTAAAATAGGTTTACTTTGGTTAATGAAGTACTAAACGATGTTTTTTCAGCACACGTTATCGAATAGTGGTGAGAGAATCTGTTAAAAGTATCAAGTTTTATTTTGGTTTCATTCGTGCGACTATCCGAGACAAATGTTAGACTATGCAAGTCTACCTTTAATTTTAATATGTATAAATTACGTGTCAATTTCACGTTGTTTGTCCGCGATGGACTCCTAAACTACTAAACCGATTTTAATCAAATTTGAACACCGTGTGCACTTTGGTCCAACTTGAGAGATAGGGTAGTTTTTTCCCCATGACTGACCCACATTTTTTTTGCGAATTTAATGATTTTTAATAGGACATGACAAAGGGTCGTCGAAAAAGGGCAGAACAACGTCTGCATGGTAAGCTAGTTATAATATAATAAAGATTCACACAGCCAAACACTGCGATTAAGTGACTTTAAATGTCATAGTTTTTTTAGTTTGTGTGTTCAATGTTAAATACGACTACTTCTACTAACTTGCTGCCAGAAAGCCGAGACACATAGCATCACAAACCGCATAACACTATAGAAGACAAAAACCATGGCTTTTTACGTATTGTTGTTTGATTGTTTTTCGTCAAACCTCGAAATCATCAATATCCGTTGGATCGCAGGTTCAAAGACGGTGTGGCGTATCCGTGGTCGGCGGGCGTGTCGAACCTGATCCTGTACCCGGAGGCGGCCAACCAGACGCTGTACACGCGGCGAGCCGCCCGTACCGACTCGGGCAACTACACCTGCCGCCTCAGCAACGAGACGCACAGCGTAACTCACAACGTGCGCCTGGATATCTTAGGTATTGCTTTGTATTCTATACATTTAAATCAAATTTAAGTGTTTGCTTGTGTATTGAAATAACTGCCATATGTTGAGCTGAAAGAGTTATTTCAATGCCATTAAGATATGAATGACAATTTTTTAAATTTTTGTCTGTCTGTCTGTATGTATGTAGCCTATCTATTCGCAATTCCTCAACCGACAGTAATGAAACTTAAATAATAACATTGAGCTATTATGTACTACGTACTAGAGGCGACACTGCATTCAGCTACTCTGTTCCACTTAACTGCGGTGCATACACCGCACTTTAATCAGTCACTCGCTAGGCGCTTATAGAGTTGTCACGTGTTGTGTTGATTTAAAAAAATCTCTTGATTAAAATATGCCGTCATGTCTACTTAGATATTACACAAATAATTCAAGAAATGTCAGTAAAAACCAAGGAATTACTTTTCATTAGTTAATAAGATACTTAATCAATAAAAAAGTATTATGTATTAATAATAAAACAAATTATTCCTAAGACGCCATCTCGTATCAGGGAATATAGATTATGAAATTAATATGTTCAGATGCGACATTTATGTGGGTACTTAAGTATAGGACGAATATATTATTATACACATTTTTTTTGTAGAAACTTATATAAGTTATTATAATTTGGCAAAATTTTTCATGTTTAAATCTGCTTATTATTCTTTTATTTTATTTTTAAGTTTCCACATCAAAGTCAAAGTGGTATAAATTCGTCCATTTTTAACTCTTGCGTGCCCAGCACGACTTATGAACGACTTTTATTCTAATTTAAATAAATATATTTGTAATTTAAATATTACGTTAATAAGTTTTCTTAAACATACATTTAGTATGATTTTTATATTTGACCTAGATACCTTTTAAAATATTGAGATATAAATATTGTTACGAGCTTGAGGTTCGTGACAATTAAAATTGCCGATAAAATTACCTAAATTAACACTTTAATTTACTTTACACAAATTAAAACTTAAAACACTAATAATTAAACACACTAATTGACTTTATTCCGCTCCGAAGCTTCGCTTGTCTCGCCAAATCCAATACTGCCCCGATCGTATCTTGCAGTGCCTATATATACAAATTAGCAATGAAGCATCCGGAATATTCAAGTAAATGCGTGCAAAGCGACGAGTTTTCGAGTGTAGATTTTCTAGAAACTTAGTTCTTCGGTTTGAGATGGCGCTGCCGATTAAAAGATTTGTGATGTCATTTTCTGCAAAGCTCCCCTCGCTCTCGTTCCTGACACTAGATGGCGCTAGTGTATGACTTTGACTTATTCACGCAACAATATCATTAAAATGTAATTGTGATATAACAATATTTAAATTTACGCGAACAATATTTAAATTTTGTCATTTATTTTTAAATGACAAAATTTAAATATTGTTCGCGATATAATTTACCTATTTAACAATACAATTTACTATTACCTACGGGTCATTCTACCTATATTTATTCTATGATAAAAAAACAACCGCGCGAACACAGAGTAGCGCACATTTTTTGTTTGAGATAGCTGTTCTAGTACGTAAATACATATTACTTCAATGAATAATAATAATAATGTCCTCCAGACCTAATTTCGGCCACGGCGGCCTGCCTCAACGGAGGCTAGCCATCGGCGTAAGGACAGGATTATAGTGCCCAAGTGTAGGTGCACTCTCTATTCTCTCACTCTCATAATCCGATGGGACGGTAAACCAATACGACGGAGAGAGATCAGGCGCAGGACCAACGGCTTTACGTGCTTTCCGAGGCACGAGGGTGAGACACCGCCAACTTCCGGACTCTGGGCAACTACTGAGAATTTCTTGACGGAAAAACTCAATAATTATTTTTTGGCCGGATCCGGGATTCGAACCCAGGACCTCATGATCTGCAGTCGAACTACTACAACCACTAGAACAAACAGATAAAGGGCGATGCCGGGAATGATCTAGACTATATTTAATTATATGGACATTAATCGATCCCACTATAGATCCAAGTGAAACCGGGGTGGGTCACTAGTTCTTGATAAAACACTTCTCTTAAATTAATTGTTTGTTTATTTTTTCAATGCAATATTACAATGTTAATGCTACCGTTCATTTGAGTAAGCCATCTTACTGATAGACTATTTAATAATGTTCTACCTCAAACTAAATTACGGTATTACTCATACTGCCGTAGGGGGCCCCAGTGCCAAGATAGAAATTAAAAAACTTAATGTCCCCGACCATAAACAACATAGGCATAATTACGCTGGCAACTGTATATTATGTAGTTATATATTGAAAAGGCAGTTAATACTACTTGGCATAGTAAGCATATGAAATCTGTGAAACCTAGTTATCAATACACAATATATGTAACAGTAACAGGTAGTAATAGTATAACATGTATGTGTACATATATATTTTTTTATTAAGCATATTTACGTCACATTTCAGTACAATACTAGCATGCAAACCTCTAGGGGTTTGTCTATGTCAGAAAGTTAGTGTGTACGTTTATTATTTATTATTATTACCAAATTTAAAAAGCAGAGTTTAAATTTGGTTTGTCGGAACCAGAATCGGAATCGGAGGTGAAGGCAAAGGTGTAAAATGACACACATTATTCGTTACAAATATGTTCGGTAAGAAACTGTCTTCGCCTTAACTGATAATTCGGCACTATGAACTGCTTAAGTCGTCCGAATCCAATACCTACCTTCCACAAAATTCAAGAGATCTTGCAAAGCAATCATTTCAGGGAGGTTCCCCGCGCAACAAGTATAAACTTGTTCGTACGCGCCTTCAATCAATTACATACATTCGGTCGAAGGTATGTACATATTATATAAAGGCGACGGATATAAATATAAGTACTAGATGTTTCCCTCCACGAATCCTAAAATCAAAGTAGCATAAATTACTCCTTATAGCATCAGCATACACGGGACGAGAAAGGGTGCTAATAACTTTTTTTATGGAGCCACTTGATACGGCAAAATAATATAACGTATGCGTGCTTAACAGTGTTTAACATGTATGGAATATGCATTGGAAGTAATAGTCGTAGATTTAAGAGTTTAATAATGTAAAATAAATATGAAATGTTTCTTTGACTTTCTCGTTTGTAGGTAATGTTAATGTATGAAAAAATGTTGTTACTGGCTGTTTGTGATAAAATAAAAGAGAAAAAAATGTTTATGCTTGCATAAAATAATAATATCTTTAATGTCACGATCGTTTAATGTCACGGATACCACTTCCTTACGCTCTTGCCTACTACAATGGTTGCAATCTTCAGGACAAGGTCTTCTTGTCAATGCATCTGCGTTGCCGTGAGATTTCCCGCTGCAGTGTCTGATAGTAAAGTCGTATTTCTGCTGCAGCTGGGCGGTGCTGTTAGCCGCACTTCCTTTCTGAGACCGTTCACCTTCCCTTCCTAGGGTGTGCTTAGGGCAGCTGGACCGAAGATGGCCCCTTTCCCCACAGCCATAGCACCTAGGGCTGTATCCTTTATTGTGGTCGCGAACAGTAACTGCTGCAACCTCCCTAGCGTGAGGTGAACGTTTGATATTTATTTGCTTTGTAACTAGAACTCCGGTTGCCGCATCAGCACTGGGATAACATTCCATATAATATGTATGTTACAGTGCCGAAGAAGCTATATAGATACTGAAATTAAATGAATGAATTCTATTCAATATAGATTATAGCTAGCATATTACCTGTTGAAAGTAATTTTTTTACTACATATTCGGAAACTAACTCTGTCCTAGGAAGAATCAGCACGAAACCCAGAATATATTTCACTTTACAATAACTTTGTTTGGTGTGGCGATCACCTCATTCCCAGGGGTTATTTTTCATTTATGTAGGTATTCTTTGATATTATATTAACCTTTTTTGTAAATTTTTTTTAATAAAACATTTAAACTTTTATTGGCAAATTTGTACATTTTCTGGGATTTTGTTGTAAAAGCATAATAAGTCATAATATTGTTGGAATTTACATCGCAAGGGCACATCTTAATACTAGAGTGAAAGCTGTGATTATAAGAGTATATTAAATCTTGTAAAACATCTATATATCTATAAGTATTATTATGAGTGAAATAACGCCACATTTTCATTTTTAGTGTTCTTTGAAATCGTTCAACAATACTGGCCTTAATGTCAGGATTGTTAGCGGTATAGTAATTAATCTTTTTGGATTTAAAGTATTTTTGTACATCTTTTGAAACAAATTCTGTGCCTTTATCAGATTGTATTTGAGTAGGTGTTAAATTACTTTCTGTAAATATACTTTAAAAACATTCTTTAGTTGTTTCTGAGTTTTTCTTTTTCATTAGTCTTGCAAAAGCATATTATTATTATACATTGCTCCATAAATGAATTACTTATTCTAAAACTGTATGCGACTATCAAATTGCAGAATATAATATAGTAAAATAACAGAATATATTAAAGGACGGTTGGACGTTGCTGTTTTGTTTTTACGTGGTAGAACCACGCTGCAGCAATATTATGGTTGTAGCACGAATGGGTCGGCTCGACCGGGGAAGGACCACGCTCTCTCAGAATACCAGCGCAAAATAGCAGCTCAATGCTGCTGTGTGTCGTATGGTGAGGGTAGAGATCCGGAGACCCTTTTTACTAGAAATAGAAACGAGGCATTACATCTTAGTCCTCAGTGGTGACAACGCGTCTGCGTTTTGGTTCTTAATCGAGGTTAAATGTGGATGTCTATGGGCCACAGCATCCACTTACCATTAGGTGGACTGTGTGCTCGTTTGTCACCCTTATTATTTAAAAAAATATGCTTACAAGAAATAGTCATAGTATACATATGCTTTTCTTTATTCATAGTATAATATTTTATACAATAAGCGACCTGCGGTTGATCATCTGTTTATCAAGCAAGGTAACTATTGCAAATATTCCCCTATGATCTATGACGAAATCTATTACTGTCCTATTTCCGTATGGACGACTGTTAATTTGCGAAGGTTCAAATCCGAGCCGGAGGCAAAAACACAAACGGTTTCTTTCAAGATTCTTAGTTGTGTGGTAATAGTTCCCCTGTATCATCCCCAGGTGGACTATGTGCTCGTTTGTCACCCTTATTATATAAAAAAATCAGCCTATTTATAAAAGGTTTAAGCGCAAACATGAGGTATATGTAATATGAAGTCTTATGTAACATAAGGGATTATATAACATGAGGCACAGGTAGACAGAAACTTGTAGCTTCATTATGTCTCCTGCGCTATTGAAAGCTTCCGATTATTGATAAGTCTCTTTGTCTTAGTGGTAAACAGGCCAGGAGGACTTCATCAATTTTCGTATTTCTACATGATAATGATTATTAATTATTTTAATTATAGATTCTTAATAAAATTTATAAATCCGATCATTAATGATGCACTTATCATTCATAATTTTTCATCGTAATTGGATGCGGTTCTCTACGATGACGTATGGACGATTGTAATTCCAGTACTTACCATGAATTTGATTCACATGTACCTACTTTTTGTCCAACAATACTGGCAAAAATATTTTTAATTGCATTATGTTTTAAAACTCGTTGTGTTTAATTGTTATAAGTAGTAAACATTTCGTCTTATACTAACACAAGTAAATATCTCCGTCATTCAATACTAAGTTTAGTGTATCGTGTAGCTATGTTTATAGTCAACCTAGCCTACCTGTAATATTGATTTCCTCATGTCTACATGCTAACAACATTATAATATGTTCGAAATTCAAAATCCTGTTCACCGCAATATTGGCGCGAGGATCGAATTCCTCGTAAGGCTTATGTATTGCTTTTGACGTTGGTGCATAACACATTATAATATTATATAGGCGTCTAATATTGCTGACGACCGACCGATCGGGCGCACTTGCACGTCAATTCTCAGAAAAGAACTAGCCGTTCGTGATTGGAAATTTATTATTCATCAACGTTGCAATTAACGCCATCTGTGTTCTCGTACTTACGATATTGAGTTTTCGTCAGCATCAGGTTTCATTCGAGGAAATATTCTCAATAACGATTCTCACACGCAACGTTTCGTTTCGCAGAAAAGCCGACAGATGCGCCGAAAACAATGTTCATTTCGAAAGACCAGTGGGTGGAGGAAGGGAGCGAAGTGCGCCTGTACTGCGAAGCTCTCATCGGTAAGTTTCCGTTATACGACATTACACATAAAAATACTGATAACGCCAAGTAATATAATGCTGACCTAATTTCGTATCATCAGTTCGCGGAATGAAAGTTTTGTCGCTGACTTTCCTCTTAAAGGTAGTGTTACAAGAGCTTTGTGTAACATTGACTTGCTATCTCTCGCATAATAAAATGAAAGAAATATCAATTATGAACACTGGTCAAGATCTGCTATAGTGTACAGAGCAAATAATTCAGGAATATTAAGCTTTTATCGTTACGCTTGCAAGCCTTATTGACAAGACGTCTGGCTCAAACTCTGACATTGCACCCCGTCGATGATTTAAATAATACCGCTACATGTATATTATAAAAATGTTATGTACTTAAAATATAAATATTGGTGTAAGTTATTTTACTTATAAAAAGTATATTATGCGACTTTATGCAGTACCTCTAAATACACCTTTGCGGTTTTCGATTTCTCTCATTAAACTTATTAAAGTTTTTAAGTAATTGGTATAAAATTTGCTTAATATCTATATACATAACAACAAAATATTAACAAAATATTTATTGACACATAAATAAAAAAAGTAACGAATTCATAATTAAATATCGAATCTCCGCTCCGCCGGCGCTATTAGCACACTTGTCTCGCCATTACCATGGTTGTCAGCTTCGCCAAGAACAGCGAGGTCGCTAGGAACTGGAGGCCGTGTCGTTGTTGTATTATTTATACGAATCGGCAACCGCATTTTTTTTGAACTGTTGTCTGGAAGATGCTGTTGCCCGCCTCCTGGTTTAGTTTTTCTTTATAGTCTCTTACGACACCTATGGGATGTCATGGGTTAGCGGATTCTTTTACGATGCCACCACAGGACAACGCTGGTCTGGTATTTCAAGAAAGGCGACATAGCCTTGTTGAAATTTTACGGAACAATTTCTCTTTTGAGACGTGTGCACACGTGCTGTTTTCGAGTCATTGCGGATAGTTTTGCACTCATCCTTGACAACTTCCTGCCTACCGAACAAGTCGACTTTCGGAAAGGTAGGTATTAAAACCGTTACAAAAACCGGTGGCTATGGACCATATAGACATACCTTTCGGCAAATTATACTGAAGACTAAAGAGTACAATGTGACGCTTTGTCGTTTGTATGTCGACTATAATTTCTAAATGCGTTTCAAGCCGTGGTAGATTGACTCGATATATCGAAGCGCTGAAGTAAATGTAAAGTGTCTCATGACATACATGGACAAGACGAAAATCATGTGTAACGTCCGTGTTACTCCTATGACGGTAGTTGTTGGCACTCACATACAGCATAATCGACTGATCCGGCTCAGCGGGGCAGGCTTCGGGGAGGGTACGACACATCTTCTCGTCGTGTATGTATTTCATAAAACTTAAAAATAACTAAATATTATTAGTGCATATTGCGGTTACCAACCCGCTCGCCGAGCGTGTTAACTATGGCAATATACACCCCATGATGAGAGTTACGAAGAAACGAGCCCCAGTTCCGGCGACCCCGCTATTCCTGACTACTGGAGGCCTATGTTCAGCAGTGGACTTGAGAAGGGCTGTAATGATGATGATGATGACGATGATGACGATGATGACTTGTGCGTATTGCCAATTGGCGACATATGGGTCTGAAAATTTGGTATTTCACTGCTGTCCGTATGAGGAAGCTTAAGGTGCTATGGAAAGGAATATGCTCGGAGTTTCTCAACGTGATAAAATCTAAAACTATGATATCCATAATAGAACCAGAGTAACTCAACGGATCAGTCAGCTGAATTGCGAATGGCTACTTACCGACAACGGATGGGGATGAAAGGTTGCCAGCCACGTTCTAGTAAGCGGAGTGTAAGACCGCCTCCCCCCACTAAATGGACCGACGACCTGATAAGTACGATGCAGAAAGTCGTTGAATTCAGTTGGTTTAGTAGGAAACATGCTCAATGGCAGGGAGGCCTATGCTCATCAGTGAACTTGTGAATGTTTGTAATGATTATGATTATACAATAAAAATAATATGTTTAATGTTTTGACATATTATCATTTATCACCTATACATATATATATAGCTATAAAGCCGGCGTTTATATCTACATATTATGTTCAGGGCGCTCGTACCTGGCGGACGCGCTCAGCGACCTACGGTGGTGGAAGGTCTGGCCCAACGGCACCGAGGGTGACCTACTGCCCACGCAACGCGAAATTAAAACCTCTCGGTAAGAAATATGCTCCAATTAAATACTTAGTAATTAATTCCCTTATCTGATGTTTATTTTTAAAGAAATTATAGTTTTCCATCTCAACAAGATATATTTACTGTCCATCATTTCGGTTTTTTATAGAAGGTTTTTAGGGTTGCAAACTAGATCACAGTTCACCAGATTGTGAGTGAATACTTTGGCTCTTTGACACATACCTGTCTTTGATTAAGAAACGAAATGTAAAGTATTGTCACAGCTCTGTCTCGCAACGCAAAATCAGGAATTTAAAAGCCAAAATTAGGGGCTTTTTAGGGGCTAATAAGGTGCCAAGTTTAAAAAGTAGGTGCTCTAAAATGTTCACCGCAAGGACTGTTGAAATTTGCGTTGCTGGCGAATCGTATAGATAGCAACTCAGTGACTATAATAGATACACGATAAATATTAAAAGCAAAGAATTTAGTGCTATTTAAGTGCTGCAAGATTATTGAGATCGGATACAGATGACGGTAACATTCTAGGAATTATCGGGTCCAGGTCCAGGACCACTATTACCTTACTATAGGGTATGATCGGCATTTTTTGTTCTTAATCAGTTATATATTACAGATAAAATAGGTGGAATCGGTACTAAAACCGAATCAGAACGCCCCTACTCTACGTAGTCTTGAGTATTTTCTAAAGCCTTAATCGCGGAAGGAGAGCAGCCCTCGCCCGCTTTAGCAAATCGCAGGCATCTGTGGGAGGCGTAGCGGCTATGGCTGGATGCCAATAAGCAGAAACTGCGGAGGTGAAAATGGATGCCTGTGATTTGCTACGCAGGGGTGAGCAGCGCCGAAGCCGTTGTAGAAGTAACTGTGTCAATATTGTGGGTTTAGTTTATGAAAGCACGTAATTATCAAATTATTGATTTTAATTCTATTCTGATTTTCAGAAGGCCTGGTATTTGCATCTGCATTGTTCTGAATAACGACTTTATTTTTTATTAGGGGCACCTTGTCATTACTTTATACATACTTGCAACACTTAATATATAACACATTTAGCGACACGTTTTGTCAGCAAAGTAAATTTCAACAGTTCGGTGCGGTGAAAATTTTAGAGCACCTAATTTTTAAACTTGGCACCAAATTAGCACCTAAAAAGACCTTAATTTTGGCTTTTTCTAAACGCAAATTCAGAGACACAACTTATTGTAATCCCTAACGACTAATAAATACTTACAAGAAGGCTTTGGTTATCGCCATTTACTAAGAAAAACTACAGCAATAGGGTGCTGTTTTACGCTGGTATTTTGTGAGAGCGTGGTCCTTCCCCAGTTAAGACAACCCATTTGTGCTGCAGCAATAATATGCCCCAGCGTAGTGCTTGTAGCGTTACCAAGTATACGATCCTGATGAAGTTTCTTACCAATCCGCCTGCTCAACGTTGTTTGTATGCTACTGACGCATTTTTGAAAATGCAATAACCTTAAGACTGAAGAAGGCTGGTTTGATACAAATGTGTTTTCTAAAGTCATAACGATCAGTATTTTCCTTCATATTTTGTAAAACGGCATTAAGCTAACTGTCAATGATACTTACCTAAACCTACAGATGAGGGTATCGTTCCTCACGATCTCATGGCGACATGGAGACAGCGACTGTCGCAACCCCGTGCTGGGCACGCCACTATAGCGGCGATAAGACCCCTCTTTGAGGAGTGGCTTGAGAGACGCCACGGCATCCTCACCTTCCGCCTGACGCAGGTCCTCACCGGACACGGTGTGTTCGGGAGGTTCCTGCACCGAATCGGGCGGGAGGAAACGCCCGGGTGCTCCCACTGCGAGGATGGACCGGAGGACACGGTGGAACACACCATAGAGATGTGCCCTGCTTGGGCGGAGCACCGCCGTGTCCTCGTAGCGGCGATAGACGGCGGCGACCTCTCGCGTCCGGCCCTGGTCGAAGCCATGGTCCGGAGCGAGACGGAATGGGATGCCGTCACCACCTTCTGCGAAGCAGTGATGCTAGCGAAGGAGGTGGCGGAGCGGGAGAAGGAGAGAGCAGCAGCTTTCCTCCCCGGCCGCCGCGGGAGACGCCCCGGGCGTCGGGGGCTACGTCGTGGCCCCCGGCCACCGTAGGCGCGGGCCTGTGGACGGCGAGCAATGGGTAGCTCGCCGTCCGTCCGTCTAACGACGACAGGCCGTGTCGACGGCGCGTTTTGTTCCACGCGCGCCTCAAAGAGCTGTCAGCAGCGTGAAGGGGCCCGCAAGGGCCGACGCCTGCCGGGGCTCCTGGCTGTTCGAAAGAGATACCGCGGCTCCGGAACGTAAGGGCACTGAAGGAACACGGATGGTTTTTAGTCAGTAAAAGTCTGACACTCCCTTACGTTCCACCCAGAGCGAAAGGCGTCATTAGATGATTTTCCATCCGCAAAAAAAAAAGGGTATCGTCCCTATTGACTCCTCCCCTTATCAAAAATAAATCCAATACTCAAGTTAGACATCAATCGGTTATATTATTGCTAACATGTTTTTTAATATTATAAAAGGTCTTAGTCTTACCTAAAACATTAGATGCTTAATTAATAACGTGTGATATTTTTGGCAACAGAGACGACGTGGAGGACATAATCGGCGCGTATCTGAGCATCGAGCGCGTGTCGACGCTGGACTACGGCACGTACGTGTGCGTCGTGCACAGCAACGACTTCGTGTCGCGCAGTTACGTCACGCTCCACTACAAGCGTGAGTGCACGCATTATGTTGTTAATTCTTATAATTATAACCTAGAATACATTGATAACTGTTTTAGAGTGTTACTACACCAAAACGCCGATCGATTGGTGACAGTGGCTCCCGTTTTGTAAACAAAACACGTGCACGGTACAGCGTTCTATTCGCTTATAACGTGCTCCGCGTGAGTTCTAGACTTCTAGGAAGTTATAGGCAACGCCACGAGTGATGGAAGTGCGCAGAAGCGAAAAATAGGTGTCGGCACGGTGAGGTGTCAGGTACGGGGAAGCGAAACCATAGCAACGGGCGACGCTATTCCCAAGTAGTTTCTTCCTGCGTCCCGTCGCCCGCGCACCTTCTTGTGTCGTCTTGTGTACTATCGATATCGAAAGTGTTAGCGACTACCTGTCATAAAATTTTAAATTTTTGCGATTATTTTTGTACTTTTAAAAATATTGTTCTATAATATTTTCAAATAGTGTGCAAATATTTATTACTTTATAAATTATTTTGGGACTATTTAAAATAGCCTAATTCGTAGTATATTGTATAAAGTTGTAAATATTTTGTTATTTTTACAAGAAGATTTTTTTTGCAAATTATTGCATGTAAAATATCCTTATAAACGAAGGCTATTGCATAGTATAGTTTAAACAGCAATTACAAATACAAAAATACAAATACAGAATATTTTATTTCTTTAACTAAGTGTACATAAAATGCAGAATATTATTTAGAAGCAGTTAAAACCTAACGATGATATATAAATATATCGTTCCGTTATCGTGGAGACTTTGATGTGTAGTTATATAAAGTTGACCTTTGACTTTTTCATATTAAAATGCCATTATAAAATTTTCATTTTTCTGCTTGATTGCACATGCGCAGTGGACTCTTTTTAATTCCATCGTACGTGGCGCGACCTATACTAGTCGTATGCGTGAAATTGCGTACGAATATCCCCCTACCTGCCTACGCAGACCTGGAGACATCGCAGTTATAGACGTTACGTCGGAAGCGTGTGATTGCGTTGCATACGATAAGTGTGTTTCTATTGCATATTTTTACGTACAAAATCTAGAGTTCAGATGTCATAATACGTTGCGTTCGTGGGAGCGGTCTGTCTGTACTACAAATGTGCGGTGTACGGTGTGCAGTGTGGGGGGAGCGGGTCTGCGGCGTGGTGCGGCGGCGGCGAGGTGCCGTGGCGCGCGCTGGCGCTGGGCGGCGCGGGCGGCGCGCTGCTGCTGCTCAGCGCCGCCGCGCTGCACCGCCGCTGCACGCCGCGCCTGCTGCTCGCGGCGAGACAAGCACGCGCGCGCGCCGCCACGCCCGCGCACCGCGCTCGAGGTATGCGCACACATGCAACGCACTACGTGCGCTCACACCTACCACACACACTTGCGCAATATTTTCTCTCTTATGCACTCAGCGCTTGCGCCTAGATCCAACTCAGTACTTACGCACACGCGAGCACAATACTTTCTCTACACACGCAGTATGTGCGCATACATTGTACACAATACTTTAACACACACATACATACACACATATCCAACACATCCACAATACTCTTACAGGTATGCAGTGAAACTACAACATAATACTGCTGTGTTTCGAATTGTGAGTTTAGAGAACCGGAAACCGTAATTACTCGAAACGAGGCATTTTATCTTACTCCGCAGGGGTGCTGCTGACGCTTACATTTGATTCTTCATAGAGGATAGATGTGACACCCATAGAGGGTGTCATTTGCCACTGTAAAAAAAACCGCTCAGCGCACACATACACGACACGCTCACTCGCAGACACGCACGCAATACTTCTGCTGCACACTACACCGAAGGTTCTTCACGTGCACATGTAGCTAGGGATGCCAACTCTATTGTGTATTAAGCATTCGTATATTATAATTTTATAAGTAGGTGAAACTACTATATTTTAATAAAGACTGACTATAATGTGAAGCTAATATTATTAATTCAAAATTTTAAAATAAATTACTTTTGAATTACCATTTTTACTGGAAACGAGGCATTCCACCTAAGACCTCACGGGTGACAACGCATCTGCATTTTGATTCGTAATCGAGGATAGATGTAGATGTCTGTGGGCCGCAGCAACCACTTACCATCAGGTGGACTGTGTGCTCGTTTGTCACCCTATCCTATTAAAGAAAAATCATTTAAAACAAATAATATGTTTTATTTTTTATCTCTTACTATATTATTACAGAAATAGCCCTAAAAATTCTACATTTTATTAAAAAAATGGGGAAAATACATAATGTTATCGCATATAAATCCACTCATACACGTATTGTTTTACCTCCTTATCTAATTTCTTAAAAAAAATATTTACTAATTTTACAGTGTTGGAAAAAGAGTTCGATGTACTTGTATGTTGGACGGAAGTGGACGGCGAGCTGGTGCGGGGCGCCTTACTGCCCACTCTAGCGCTCAAGTACAAATATCGAGTACATGCAGTAGTACTTTCCACGCAGCCGGACAACTGTGAGTTTAGATTTTTATTAAAATTATGCTTTATTTTGTATCATGTTATTTATAAGCGATCAAGAATATCATTAGTATTATTATTTTAAGTTTTTATCAGGAAGATGGTCTTGATTGCAGTGTAAGAAGATTATATTCGTCTCGTCCAAAAATAATATAAATAAGCCTAAGTAATAATGATAATATATTGCCTATATCATTGTTAGCGTTTTTTAAAACTTGGCCAGTGGTGTATGTAAAGTATTTGTGAATTTTGATAAAGTAAGAAAAGAAAAAGGTTTTGATGAAACGGATTTAGTATTAGTCAAATCAGTAGTATTTGACGTGTTCAATCAGTCAGATTTAAAATAGGCGCGGGCCGTGAAATTTACGATATTCACCTACATAAAGTTCTCTATCCTCGGATTTTCCTTTCCTAAATGTTTTCAATCATTATCTAACTAATAGTCCGGAGTTTTTGTATTTGTCATCCGGTCTCATTGGCCTATGGTTAAATACATGTATTTTCGATTTAAGTAATTTTGCTTTGCAGGGTACAGCGAGCTGGTGGGTGAAGCATCGCGGTGCCGTTCTCTGGTGGCGGTGCTGTCTCCTGCGCAATACACTCCTCAGCAGCTGCTCACTGCACTGCGCCAGCTGAGAGCTCTGCCTCTGCCGCCCGTTGTCGTCTTACTGCAGGTAGCGTTTGTTTCTTTTATTTGGCGCAACAAATAATTGTCGAATGAGTATTACAAACAATAATACTTTATATTTAATAAAATCTGAATGGTTTAATGGAAATGGTTGTAAATATAAAGCGGAGTCTTTTGTTCAAAATTAGATTAAACAAAATTAGATTAATAAGATCCGGAAAAAAGTGCAATAGTTTGTCACAGTTGAATTTAACCACTTTTATATTTTGAGTAAAAGATAATGTAAGCTAATACTTTGGGATGTTAAGATGAAGTATATTTTTTGGAAAATACAAAGTCAAATAATTAAAGTCTTCTTGAAACAGTAAACAATTGTTTTTTATAGATTTATAAGCCTTTCGATCATCAGCATTTAATAAAATCGTTTATATAATTTGTAAAGATAAAGAGCAACGGGCAAAGAATGGATCCTTGTGGCACACCAGATGTTACTGTTATTGTTTTGGCGCAGTGGTCATATAAAATATCTACCTGAGTCCTATTTAAAATGTATGAAGAAAACCACCTTAGTGGATTACTCCTAATCTATTATATGCTATTCTATTAAGAAGTAGTTCATGGTCAACTTTGTCAAACGCTTACCGAAAATTTGTGTATTTGGTATCTGTTTGTATTCGAATATCGATGTTAAAAAATACTTACCAACATAAAGGGCCAAGTTAGCTATAGTTGGTCTTTGTTTGGCGAAGCCGTGTTGCTCATGCATAAAGGTATTATTAAAAATTGGAAAAATTTCATTATGTACACACTAGCTATAGACACTCCAGTCATGTCAGCTGTTTTTTTGCACAATCAGTATCCACATCACTCCAAATGACATGGAGTATAATTAATAGTGAAACTGGTAAGGTCAACTCTCGCAATTCAAACTACCAGTTAAGTTTTAACAATAAATTAACTAAATCAGATCAGGACGTTGCAATGATTTTTGAGAAATATTTTACTGATATTCCGATCTTAACCACTAAGTCACTGAATTCTTCTCCTGCCGTCGCCGAATCATTACTTAAACAAAATGTAAATGTGTGTACAAAGAATTTTACATTTCATAAAGTGTCATCAAAAGATATTGTAAAATATTTAAGACTATTGATATTAAGAGAACCGCCGATCTGTGGGGGATTTCTGTTAAAGTTATTGCGTCTATAATAGACACAATCGCACCTCAACTATCTATTATTTTTAATACTAGTATCGAGTCTGGTGTGTTTCCTGAGTTAATGAAGCATAGTAAAATAATACCTTTATTTAAATCTGGTAGTACATTGGACCTCTCTAATTTAAGACCTATTTCTGTACTGCCAACACTTAGTAATTTTTTTAAAAAAAATTATTCTTGATCAAATGTTAAAGTTTTTTAATGTAAATAATTTACTTCATAATAATCAATTTGGTTTCACAAGGGGTCGCTCGACAACTGATGCTGGTGTTGAGCTGATTAAATATATATTTAATGCATGGGAGAATTCACATGATGCTTTGGGTGTATTCTGTGACCTATCCAAAGCCTTCGATTGTGTTCACCATGAAACATTAATCAGGAAACTTTAACACTACGGTGTAAGATGCGATGCTCTAAAATTAATTATTTCATATTTAATTGACAACGCAAAAAGTTGTCATAGTATGATTTCTTCGGGGTCGATTGTACAAATGGGCGTACCTCAGGGCTCAATTCTTGGCCCCTTTCTTTTTCTTGTATATATTAATGACTTACCTTACATAGTAGGGGATAACCATGATATAGTATTATTTGCTGATGATACCTCATTAATTATCAAATTAAAACGACAGTTATTAAATTACGACGAAGTAAGTAATGCTATAGCTAAGTTAGTCAATTGGTTTAATGTTAATAATTTGCATTTGAATGGAACTAAAACTAAATGTATGAAATTCGTAACTCTAATGTTAAACATGTCAATACTAATGTAATTTTAAATGGTGAGGAACTGAATCTTGTTGATACCACCATTTTTCTTGGAATCACACTAGACGTAAAGCTTCAATGGCTCCCCATATATCAAAACTAGCTAGCAGACTTAGTTCTGCAGCATATGCTGTAAAAAGATTAGATCTCTTACCAATGTTAAAACAGCTGGAATAGTTTACTTCAGTTATTTCCATAGCATTATGTCGCATGGTATTTTGCTATGGGGACACGCGACTGACACTGAAATTATATTTATTTTACAGAAGAGTGGCCCTCTTCTGTAGAGCTGTAATATATAATTTAAAACCAAAAGAGTCACTGAGACAAAAATTTAAAGAAATTAATATATTAACTCTGGCCTCTCAATACATTTATGAAAATGTAATGTACGTACACAAAAATAAAAGTAGTTTTGCGAAAATAAGTGATATTCATTCTGTAAATACTAGTAACAAACACAAGCTAGTAGTACCAGTTACTCGACTCCACCGAGTCAGTAATTCATTCTTGGGACGATGTATACGCTTTTACAACAAAAATCCCAGAAAATATTATAAAAATTGCCATACACAAAGTTCAAAAATGTTATTAAACTAAGTTTGTATAAAAAGGGTTATTATAATATTAAGGAATTTATGGATGATAATAACCCCTGGGAAGGGTGATCGCTAATAACCTATTTCTAATTTGTCTTGTGTTGTTTATTGTAAGCTATTATTGAAAAAAAAAATAGTCCCGTTGGGTTTCTTGCTGGTTCTTCCCAGGACAGAGGTTTTTTTTGCGAACCAGTGGTAAATGAAAAAAGTGACTTTCAATAAGTATTGTTATAATCTACATTGAATAAAAAAGTTTCTGTTCCTGTTTCTGTTTAGTTTTGAACACAAAATGGTTAAAAGAAAACGTAAGCCAAAAACTAACCAAAAACTCAACAAAAATATAACGAAACTCAACAAAACAATGAAAAACAACCCGCAGCAGAACAACGAGCACATCCGAGCATTTAATTCAAAAGCCGAATGACACATGACAGCGCTATGCACATCGTTTATATAATATTCGGCGTTCATAGACATTTCAAAGATGAAATACACACTAATGTCATTTTCCGTAGAATGAATATTCCATCTTTTTCCTTTTTTTGGCGATAACTCGGTTTTACTTCTAATTAACATTAGTTCTGGCAACATGCCAAACGTCAAATTTCTATGGAGTAAAAAATTTACGTATAGTTATATATATATATATATATATATATATATATATATATATATATATATATTTTTATGTTTATATTATAATTAGTTATATTATATATAACAAAAATATTTTAAGAGAGGAATATAAAAATAATTTTAAATTACAGTTTTTATATCTAAAATTTTACAACCAAGAATAGGCCTATTGAATGCAATATGTCCAATACAAAGTAGGCAGCACTGCAAGCAAGCAGCTCGATTTACTTGTATTAAAAAAATGATGCAGAATCTCGACACAGATAAAGACTCGCTTGTCGCTTGCCGAAGAGATGAGGTGTTTAGATTAGGATGAGGACTTTAATTTTGAGTATGAAACCAGCTTTGAATAATATGATAGATGGATCACGCACACAGCGCCCATCCGTGTATCGCAGCCCCGGCGTAGGTCTTTAGACGTTGACCCGGCTAGCCGATTAGATCATTCGCCGAGTGTTCGGTTGCCGGGTACTCGACAGCACCAAGATTATCCAGTTCATCTGTAGTTTAGTATTAAAAACCAAACAAGTAACAAAGCAACGGCATGTCGTGTCGGTCAGGACCTCCCGAAGCTGAAACGCGAGGCGAAGGAGGCGGGTGAATGGCTGGTGGGCGCACTGCGGCGCACGCGGCTGGTAGCCTGGCGCCACGTGCACGAGCGCGCCTTCTGGACCGCGCTGCGCCTCGCACTGCCGCTGCCTCCGCCGCCCCCGCACCCGCACCCGCACCAGGTACGTCACGCACACACACGCACGCGGCTAGTAGCCTGGCGCCACGTGCACGAGTGCGCCTTCTGGATAGCGCTGAGCCTCGCGCTGCCGCTGCCTCCGCCGCCCCCGCCCCCGCACCCGCACCAGGTACGTCACGCACACACACGCATGCGGCTAATAGCCTGGCGCCACGTGCACGAGTGCGCCTTCTGGATAGCGCTGCGCCTCGCGCTGCCGCTGCCTCCGCCGCCCCCGCCCCCCGCACCCGCACCAGGTACGTCACGCACACACACGCACGCGGCTAGTAGCCTGGCGCCACGTGCACGAGTGCGCCTTCTGGATAGCGCTGCGCCTCGCGCTGCCGCTGCCTCCGCCGCCCCCGCACCCGCCCCCCGCACCAGGTACGTCACGCACACACACGCACGCGGCTGGTAGCCTGGCGCCACATGCACGAGCGCACCTTCTGGACCGCGCTGCGCCTTGCGCTGCCGCTGCCTCCGCCGCCCCTGCACCCGCACCTGCACCAGGTACGTCACGTACACACACGCATCGGCTGGTGACCTGGCGTCACGTGCACGAGCGTTCCTTCTGGACCGCGCTGCGATTTGGTACTTATAAGCTCTGCATTTCCCTATTTTTGTGGTACCTTTATAATACTTAACTTCACTTATAATTCCTACAAAACTGTTAATTATCATTGATTATATTATTACTTATAACTGCATATCTTTCAGGAGAAACCTAACAACACGGAGGCTGAGGAAAGCAAGAGCTATCGCTCCGGTAGTTTAACTGCGCTCGTGTGAAACTTAATGACAAAACGGTAACCAATGTGGGACTCTTCGAAGTTATAGCTTCGTGAACGTAATGGCAGCTGTAAACTGTGGATGAACTTGTGTTAAGTGTCGGACACTGTGCTATCGAATCCGGCCCGTTTCCCGGGACATCGTAAGTGATACACGCAGCAACGTGCTCTATGGTGCAGCCAATCAGTATGAAGACTGTGAATAGGTATTAAATTTTGTATTACTGAACTTTGTTTGATATCAGACAAAGCAATTAGACTTAGACCAATTCGAAATCTGTATACAGTTTTCTAAGATCTCAGCATCATCTGTCTTCTCTCGATTCATGTTTCATTAGTTTCCTTCTCTTTCTCGTGCCAAAGCGGAATTATGTCATGACAATTAATCTCTAAGATAAAAAGTATTTTTCGGTTGTCTTTACTATTTATTTTATTTATCTCTACGTTAGAAATTTTTGATGACTTGTGAAAATTGTCTGTAACTTATTTCATTCTGTTAGCATAAGTTTTGTTTACGATAAGTTGATTTAATTATAATTTAGAGTATTAAATGTCTGTCCAATGACTTAATAAAAATTCTTTATCGATCAGGGTGTTAAGAAACTCTATGTAAGATATAAGTTTCTTCCCTTATGTTTAGTTGTTAATAAAGTGGAGGCCGAATGTAAGAATTATTAATAATAGATGGTTTTGAAGGTCTGTGATATCGAAGCGAGAGTACTCCATACGTGTCAGTAACTTTTAAAGTGAGATATTGTGTGTAATTGTTGGTAATTGGAAGTAGAAAAAAGAATATAACTGTCAATAATAATGTGTACTAGGTATGTATAATAATAAAAACTTGCAAAAAAATGTTACTTTGCAGAATATCTCAAGATCTAGCTTTATGCTGGTACTACAAGGTTGTCTCCTTCTTCTATTAACCTTCAGGCAGTCAATGTACAAGAATTAGTTCGTACGCACGTTATAGTTCGATGTATACTTAGAAAACTTTAATGAACACGAAGATGGTGGATTTTAACACGATTTGTGATTCTTACCAGTCCGCACGATTTGAGCGAACGTTTGGAGGGGTTGTTTGACGATCGGGTAGTACCAGCACTACGCAGTACTGAAACTGAAACTTATTTTTTATCTATGTAATACTGAAATTATTAACGTAAGTTCGGTGTAAATATATCAATAAAATTGTTTTCACGGTAAAGTAAGGCGACTTGAGTATTAATGATGCCAAGTGGTATTTACTGTTTAATATAATTGTCTAGTATTATTATGTACTTGTCACATTCCGAAGAAAGTTTTCTATTGAAGTATTTTAGTTACTAAATTTATAGTGAAAAGTCTATATGAACAGAAAATAAAAAGAATTTGATACTTTATTGTTTCATTTACATTTTAAAACATTTTATAAAATAAATAAGCAAGTAAGTGATAAGTGGGTTAGTGTTTTGTTTGCAAAAATCATGTGGCATTACACACCTAATATTATTTTGTGCACATCTAGGAGTATGGCACAGTACCTACAACCACTAATAATAAGTTTTTTACTTCTTTCAAAAATTCTAAAAAAGTTACTTAAATTTTCCATATTCATCATCATCATCATCATTACAGCCCTTCACAATTCCACTGCTGAACATAGGCCTCCCCCAAGGTATGCCACAAAGCACGGTCCTGAGCCACCTGCATCCTTCGACTTCCTGCATGTCTTACCAGGTCGTCACTCCATCTAGTGGGGGGTCGCCCTACACTTCGCCTACCGGTACGAGGCTGCCACTCGAGAACCTTTTTTCCCCAACGGTCGTCGGTTCTTCGAGCTATATGGCCGGCCCATTGCCACTTCAGCTCACTAATCCGTTGGGCTATGTCGGTCACTCTGGTTCTACTTCTTTTGTCCATGTTCATCTTAAGATAGGATACGGATAGGCCGTTGGGAGGCACTATTGAGGTCATTGAGCATAGTGCTTAAGTCCTCCAGCGATTCTGCCATAAGGACTATATCGTCGGCTAATCGAAGGTGAGTGATCTAATCGCCATTGATGTTAATACCGTATACTTTCCAGTCCAGTAGCTTGAAAACGTCTTCCAATGCAGCGGTGAAGAGCTTCGTGGAAATAACGTCACCTTGTCTTACACCTCTCTGCAGTTGGATAGCTTTCGTACTCTGGTTCTGTACTCGGATAGCCATCGTAGCTCTACTGTACAAACACTTCAGCACTTCGATATACCGACTTCGATGTTCACTTATCAATAAATTGCTTTCATCTATTCATAACGTTTTTAAAAAAAATGAAATGAAAAAAATTCAGTGCTGCGTCTATCAAAGTCCACCACTGAACATAGTTCTCCCAAAACGTGGTATATTAAATTTTTTAGTACAAAAAAAATGTTACAATTTAAGGTGGTATAAGATAGACGCTGCTCTGTCACTTCTTGCGACATGAGTGATTTGGGGCAGTGCATTAGGCCGCCTCTTATGCCGCCACTACCTGGTGGACTTTAAAAATCGATAATTTTTCTAAAGTTTAAACTTTAGAAAAATTTAACACATTTGCACCCACAGAAGATCAGCGTCATAGTGCTCTGGCAGCAGCTTTATGCTGAATACCTTTTTAATAACGTTTTACTCAATTTATAGGAATAGTACTTAAATAAGTACACCATTTTCTTTCTTTCTCAGTTGTTGATAGTTTTTCTTAATTCATTAAGAGGAGTATTACAAAAAAACGCGAAATTACAAGGTTTCCATGTTGAAATTATATGTTTTACGATCGTTGCTTGAAATAAAAAATTACATACGTGGTAAAAATAATTCATTTTCTCTACTACAATAAGCTCAACGCAAATTTAGATAACTTATTTATTGATTTAGTAATAATCATTCTCCCGATGCAGGTTTAGGCCAAAACTCTGCGAGACATGATTTGGGAGCTCTAATTTGTAGATTCTATTGAATATAGACCATCAAAAAAATATTTTTATCTCACAAATATCCTATACTTTAATAATGATAAAATACATTTTCGTTATATGCCTTTCACGTAAGGGAAAAAAATCGACATAATTCAATTATCTACCGAAAAAGCTTCGATACAAGCCCCAATATCTCCGAAAATTTTGACGTATCACCAAAAATAATTATCAATATTTGCTTAAACTATGCTATGATTTTTACTTTTTAAATCGTTACTATTATTTTAAATAATTAAATAAAAGTACCATATATTTAACTGCGTCGGCCATCTGAATTCACTACCACGTCAGAGGCTCTCGAAGTCGAACCTGTGTCATTTTATTTCGCGCGCTCCGTTTCGTTTCGATATTATCACAGTGTGCGTCGATGAAAGTGGCGCTGCTATTTTATGCCTAGAGCATCGTTAACTACGCCCGCAATTTTTAATCATTGGAAGTATTTACTTTCTTGGAGTATATTTCAATTAGTATAAAGTTCGCACATTATTATTATACCAGATAGTTAACAGTTACAGTTATTTTGATTGTAGCTGAACTTTCTTACCAGTCGGAACGGGGAAAAATAAATACAAGTATCAATGTGTCACTAAACGTAAAAAAAGTAATACATAGGGTATTCCTTCTCCTCTTACACGCATACATTTTTATTCTCCATTGTTTTTCTCCTCTGGAGAAAAAACAACGGAGAATATGCGTGCTTGCCATATGGACTGGCCCAGATTATGCAGTAATAGTGCTAAAAATCTACAAAGACGACAAATTTTGGATTTTGAATGTTACCTTTTATAAAAGTGTGTACAGCCTGAAATTATTGACTCGAAATAAGCTCTGTCAATGCCATTGCGGCAAATATTTTTATAATAAAAAATATGTTAATTGACTGAAGTACCGATTAAAAAAATAATAGTTACAGTTGGTTATTTTATTTATTAAAAGAGGTTGCAACCGTACTATTTATTTATTTATACCACTATGCTATCGCTAAGAGATACAATCGATTATTAACCAACATTGGTTAACAATCGATTAATGTACTTACTTACTTACTTACTTATCTTCACGCACAATCCCTAACGGGGTAGCCAGAGAGAACAGATCGCCTAGTGTCACGATCCTTACATACCTCTTTCGCTTCTTTCAGGTTCATTAACTTCTTCATACATGCACGTCTAGGTATCCGAGTACTCTTGACCCTCCCCTCTTCGAGCATTTTGCTCACATGGTCTTCGATAGTTAGTCTCGGTCTACCTCGACACCTTTTAATATTTACTTTCGCTCTATATATTTTCTTCACCATTCGGTCTTCACTCATTCGTTCAACGTGCCCAAACCATTGGAGTACGCCCCTATCAATTTTTGTGATAAGGTCATCTTTCAATCCTGCCATATTGCGAATCTCTTCGTTTCGCTTTCGGTCGGCTATGGTAACGCCACACATTTTACGAAGAGATCGCATCTCCACTGCATTCAACTTGCTTTTATGCTTCTTCTGGCATACCCAGGTTTCGCTGCCATATAACAAAGTCGGTACCAACACTGCGTTATGTATTGCAAGGCGTGCACTCTTCACCACGCCTTGCCTTTTTACTAATGCATTCAGGGCACCATTGACTTTGTTTCCGGCAGCGACACGCCTATCCACATCTAAATCACATCTTCCATCCCGGCTGAAAGCACTCCCCAAGTATACAATTTCATTTACCTGTTCTAGACATTCCTGATTTACCCATATTTCACATTTCGTTCTCTCTTCGTCCTTTTCAAATACCAGAACCTTACTTTTATTAGCATTCAAACGGAGACCTTTAATTTCACATTCCTCTTTCATACACGTGACTAATGCCTGCAGTTCTGCTTCTGATGGTGCAATAAGCACTGCATCATCAGCATACAGCAGACAATTAACTTTTATGTCACCCAATTTCACACCCAAACAGCTATTTTTCAGCTTCTGTAAACAGCTGTCGAGATACAGTATGAACAGCCAGGAAGACATGACACAACCCTGTTTTACGCCCGCTTGGACGCTAAACATGGGTGACAGGTCATGCCCTACCCGCACACAGGCTTTACAGTCATAGTAAAGTGACTGCACAGCCCTTAACAATCGACCATCCACACCATATCCCGGCAACAGTTCCCACATTTTCTTCCTTATAACCTTATCAAATGCTTTCTCCAGATCCACAAAAGCACAGAAAATCCTCTGGTTAACACTCAGAAGCTTCTCCGTGATCATGCGGAGAGAAAACATTTGATCCGTGCATCCTCTTCCAGGTCTAAATCCGCATTGTGCCTCCCATAAGAATCTTTCCGATTTCTCTTGCATCCTACGTGTCAAAACCTTCGAGTAAACTTCACATGCTAAACTGGTCAAGCTCCAAATGTGAACCTTTACTTTTATATAAAGGCACAATGACCGCGGATCGCCAATCATCCGGGACATCTCCCGTCCGCCAGCACAAATTGCACAGCAGATGGAAGCTATCCCAGACGCGAGTCCCACCGTACTTGACCATTTCAGCAGTAACTCTGTCTAGTCCCGCAGCCTTACCACATTTCAAACTTCGAATCGCACGTTCAATCTCTTTCATGCTGATGACCTCAGTGTCATCGAGGTCCGTGTCTGGCGTGCCAGTCACGGCGTCACCCCCGGATCCTTCACTAAGATCATGACACGCATACATTTCTCTATAAAATTCACTCCATCGCTGCATGACGTCCGATTTTTCTGAGAGAACGTCATTGGTTCTCGTAAGCACTTTGTTCATTCTTAAGGCTGTCGCACCACTCCGGGACCCTCCAACCTCTTTCCAGAAGAGTTTGGAGTTTTCCCTAAAGTTGTGCGACAACCTCTCGTCCGCTTCTATTCTACACCTTTCACGTACTTCCTCAATTGTTTTCGCATGAACTTTCTGCAGCTTATATCTTTCTTTCATCTTCTCTCTCATATGCTCATCGTTACTAGAGGCCAAGTAGTCTAACCATGTTTTTTTCTTCTTTTTTTACAGCTTCTCTTAATATCATCATTCCACCTTGCATCTCTTCTCTTACTACTACCTCTTTTTGTCGTACCACATACTTCTTCCGCTGCACTTACCATTCCATCCCTAAGGTTCTGCCATGTTCTCTCCACACATTCTTTCCTGCCATCGATGGTGTCAAGCTTTTCGGCTACCCTCGTGTGATATTTATCCCTAGTATCCGCTTCCTGAAGCTTCCAGCTTCGGATGCGACAGACCGACTGTGGTTCTGTTACTGCCGTCCGGTAGCGCCAACCCGCGAACAAACCCCTAAATCTAGTAATTACTAGATAGTGATCCGTTCCCAGGTCAGCACCCCTGAACACTCGTGTATCCATCACCTGTTTTCGCAGTCGGTCATCCACCAGGAACAAATCAATCATACTTCTCTCATTCTTTCTTTCTCTAGTGTACATATGGATTTTCCTGTGATTAAACATAGTGTTTGTCATAAGAAGACCCTTTTCCTTGCATAAAGCCAGTATAAGCTTGCCAGCATCATTAACCCTTTTATCGCCAAACTTTCCAAGCACCGACTCGTATCCTGGTCGAGTGACACCTACCCATCCATTCAAATCACCACATACAACAGTTCTTTCGTTTCCCTTAACCAAATCTAGAACTTCTCTTACATTCTCCCAAAACTCCTCCAGCTCAGCCCTGGACGACGAAGCTACCGGCGCACAAACAGCCAAAAGGAATAACTTCGTCAGTCCCATTTTGAAGCGAACCCAGAGAAGTCTTGAGTTCACAAACTTGTATTCAGTCATAAGATCGACCAACCGGGATGACAACAGCACTCCCACTCCCTGACAGGCGTTCTCGCTTTCCGGGACTCCGGACCATATAGCTAACGTCCCGCCAGGGAGCTCTTCAGTACCACTGCCTTTCCGTTTGGTCTCCGACATACACAGACATCTAATTCTCTTTCTTTCATTATTTCGATCAACTCATTCGTCTTATCTCTCATGCCCCCTCTTAACATTCCAGGTGCCAACTCTGCACTCCGTCCTCCACCTTCCGCCGTGTCGGGCTGTGCGTGACGGGTGGCGGTCCCCATCGCCGATTTGCGCGCTGCATTCCACACCAACGGGGACGAGCTGGTGTGCGTCGCCTTTGGGGGGACGCCCTAACCCTCGTTTGCATGGGTGCGCAGCTGTGTAGAATTGCAGCCCTGAAAAGGGCTGGCAGGGGTCGCGACGAGCACGCTTCTACAATGACCCCCATTATCGATTAATGTGAAACAATAAAAATATTTATGTGTACTTATTTCAACACTAAGGTTCATAAATAGAAAACTTGTATAATGGAAGATCATGATCGTTTAGTCGCTATACTCACAGTACCATAGTGCGAGCGACTGAATAAGAGTTATGAAATAAAATATCGCTCGCGTTGGTCATCGCCCGCACTGAGCGTAAAAATAGAATGAATGCAAGGTGTGTAAAGGGTTCACGGCAGAAACTACAAAAATGTTTCCCACAGCGCAATTTCCGCTAGCGCAACATCAGTTATGCTACAAGGGTTCACTATTAAAATTTTTAAAATTTCAATATAAAAGTTTGATTAAACTTCAATATATAAATTCGAACTTGACGGAATAAAATTAGAAAGATAAGTAGTTACAAAATCCCTGAAGTCTAAAACAAATATTACAAATGATAACAATAACAATTTATTTTTCAAAAAAAAAAGCTGAAAAATCCACCCAGGATATGGATTAGATCATAGGAGGGAGAATGTAATATGCATGTCACTCATATCAAAAATGCGGGAAAAAATACGGAATGTGAATAAAATGATGTTGTAAATATAAAACTTAAGACATAATATATTTATTATAATACTAATAGTCAAAAACGTGTAAGACAAATACGTAATGAAATAAATAAATAGAAAAAAGAAACAAAAATAAAAATATAACGAAGGACTTTGAATAATTATAAAGTAAGAAATAAGAAGTGCAAAATCACTTTTGTGGAGAAGCGTACCTTCTTTTTCTTACACACACCAGACCCGATAAAAAAGTATTTTTGGATTTGCACAAACCTAACTTCTGTTAATGATTATGACACGAAGCCTGTTTGACTGTCTATATTGCATAACCGACTTGAACTTTACACTTATATTGTCACGAAAATTACAAAAATCATAATGACTTAGTAACATTGCCATGCAAGTCCCTTTTTCATTTCCCTGCTCTTTCTGAACGATGGTCAGAATCACGCACGTCACACATGTCAGTAGCTCGTTTTCACCAATATCTACCATGTCTCTGTGGTAAGAGGACATTACGCATCGAACGCAGCAACTGTATCTACTTTAACTTTGCTGGGAGTGACGAAGGACAATATTATTGTCATATTCACGCTACGATTCATGCATGAGTCTGTAGCCAGTGCAGCAAAGTGACTGATTTTGTTTGTTTTGAATGATTTATAGAGTTGTGGTCATATTTCATTTACACTTTTTTTGGCAGAAGAACCCATCCCTTAACAATTATAATGACTTTTAATTTTTGTATAAATAAAAAGCAATATTTTGTAAATATAAAAATGTATTATGTTGCAATAATCAACAAATAACAGACTTACATAGTTTTGCAAGTGCAGGCACTGTATTAACACATTTCTCATTAAATTCAGTATCACACAAAATTATCAACAATTATTATTTTACATTTTATAGGAAAATCAAGATTAAAATAATTTGGTTCAAAACCTAAGTACAATTATTAAGTAATTCTGTTTAAGGTGAAAATCATTGGTTTTTCATTATCACCGAAAAATAAAGTTTTTTGCGTTTTTTTTTTAAATTAAACCAGCTTATAATTAAGTACACACAAAGTTTAGCACCGCTAAAACTAATAATAAATTATGTAAAAGATACACACAATACAAGATTCATGATATTCTTGGAGCAGATTAAATCATGCAAAAATATTGCGAGATTATGTACAATTGATTAAATTATAATTACACATACAATAAATTATATATTCGAGCTTATAGTTTTTTCAATTTCAAGTAATCGAATACAATAATTATTCACTAGGATATTTCGTAATTAGTTATTTTATAGGTAACCACGTTGTACAAACTATAGCGATTGTAAAACAGTATTAACTACAATTACTTTCTATTCTTAAAAATATAGCGTATATAGTAACTAATACCGAATAATTCAATGTGATATTGATTATTGTGTATATTGACATTTTGTTAATTTTAAGTAACATCAAAATGTTATTAATAACAATATACGATTTCTTATTAGTCAGTTAATATTGTTTATAATGGCAGGCATGAATAGAGTTAGTATATATTGCAGTCATTCAAATTTAGTTGCATTTTTAACAACAAAACAGGGCTAGTGTTTAACGCTTTCGGAGCTCTAAATTTTACCTAGCTCTATATGTAAAATTTGCTTCGTAATTGTTATTATTCTAAAGATAAACATCAATTCCTTTTAATAAAGAACAAAGCGAATAACTAGAAAAATGGCAAGTACAGAGTTAATGAAATTAAATATTACGGGTCTCATATTTTCAATAAATACTGAAAACTCGTAGGAACATGTTACAAACATGGATTACATTTAAGATGTTCTTATTATAAAATTTTTATGTTCTTAAAATAAAATTGAAAAACAGATGAAAACCGTTGTACGTGTTGTAAAAACATATTCTTAAAATTTTATTTTCCTGTGCTACCATTAAATGTATTTCATTATTGTTAGATGTTTTAACTTAAGTGATTGAAATAGTCAATCTTTACTATTTTTATTCGTAAAATGCATTAAAACCTGTAGCTATTGCCTTGGAACTACGAAAACGTTGACACTATGTCCTGTGCCCAAAATATGTTGTCCAAGTTAGAGTAAGATACCCTCTTACAGATTGGAATCAGAGAAAACACTTTCATTCTGACTTCTTAAACTAAAAATTGTCATCAGCCTTTTCAGACCTTCGGATTTTACCCATAGGAACACATAATTTGTGTTACTATTCATTAAATTTATCAAACGATCAGTCTGTCGTGTCAGTTTTCCATTGATACTTTTGTTCGTATGCCTGAAACAAAGAGATTACAATTTTATCATTTAAAATTTTTCAAATATATTATTTCAATTGCACCTAATCACCAATATAAGGCAGGACATCTCACACTCGTAGATACTAACCACGACAGGCACCTACACTACAGCACGTGAAAACTTAGCCATAAATTTGTTAGGGCCATAGAATACTATAATACATACATAATAGAACAGGGGAGTGGGCGCAGCCCGTGTAGCCACTAAAATGCCACAAGACGTCAATTCACACGTATAAACATCAACACGAGATGTGTTTTGACGTTACAATCGTTTCCAAATTTCGCACGCAAATTATTTAGAAAATGCCAAATTGCACGCTATTTACAAATAAATATGTATTAAAATCTGTCTGTCAAGACAGCGAATTGGGTTTGTAGTAGTGATTAACTGATAATACGACGTAATTGCTTGTATGTGTGCTCCCGGCGGCGCATATCCTCGTACAAAATAAGGTTGACGGCCATTCTATTGTGTGTTATAGTATTCTATGGTTAGGGCTATCGAGGAGTTCATCTGGGATTTCGAAACACCTACTTCGATTTTAGTGGTTTTATTTTCGTTTATTTCGTACATATTTCTACTTTACCGAAAATAATCCAGAAATCTTTTAAAAGATGCATCTTAAATAATTTAGAAGAAACTCACAAATTACCAGCGTAAAATAGCAGCTTAGTTAATGCTGTTCTGTTTCGTATGGCGAGTGTAGAGAAACGGAGAACCTTTCTACTGGAAACAAGGCATTCCATCTTAGTCCTTAAGGGTGACAAAGCAATTGCATTTTGATTCTTAATTGAGGAGAAATGTGAATAAAGTCTATGGGCCACAGCATTCCCTTACAATTAAGTGGACTATGAGCTTGTTTGTCACCCTTATACTATTTAAAAAAAAAGCGTAACTAGAAACCAGCTAATGCATTACAATCGCTGCTAAAAACTACTTTCAGTAACAGTAGCTATTAAAATTATTTGATAGTCTAAAAACTTTCTAACACTAAAATTAATAATAGGTACATACTTTAGAGACGTTAAAACACTAAAGTTAAGCAATTGTAAACATAATGTAAGTGATTATAAATTTGACTAACAATTTGGTTGGTAATTTACATTGCTAGCAACCCGCTCAAGCTGTGACATAGGAAAGTTACATTACTTTACATTGTTAGCAACCTGCTCATGCTGTGACATAGGATAGTTACATTACTTTACATTGTTAGCAACCTGCTCAAGCTGTGATATAGGATAGTTACATTGCTTTACATTGTTAGCAACCTGCTCAAGCTGTGATATAGGATAGTTACATTGCTTTACATTGTTAGCAACCCGCTCAAGCTGTGACATAGGATAGTTACATTGCTTTACATTGTTAGCAACCCGCTCATGCTGTGACATAGGATAGTTACATTACTTTACATTGTTAGCAACCCGCTCATGCTGTGACATAGGATAGTTACATTACTTTACATTGTTAGCAACCTGCTCATGCTGTGACATAGGATAGTTACATTACTTTACATTGTTAGCAACCTGCTCAAGCTGTGATATAGGATAGTTACATTGCTTTACAATGCTAGCAACCCGCTCAAGCTGTGACATAGGAAAGTTACATTGCTTTACATTGCTAGCAACCTGCTCAAGCTGTGACATAGGAAAGTTACATTGCTTTACATTGCTAGTAACCCGCTCAAGCTGTGACATAGGAAAGTTACATTGCTTTACACTGCTAGTAACCCGCTCAAGCTGTGACATAGGATAGTTACATTACTTTACATTGCTAGCAACCCGCTCAAGCTGTGACATAGGATAGTTACATTACTTTACATTGCTAGCAACCCGCTCAAGCTGTGACATAGGAAAGTTACATTGCTTTACATTGCTAGTAACCCGCTCAAGCTGTGACATAGGAAAATTACATTGCTTTACATTGCTAGTAACCCCCTCAAGCTGTGACATAGGTAGTTACATTACTTTACAATGCCAGCAACCCGCTCAAGCTGTGACATAGGAAAGTTACATTACTTTACAATGCTAGCAACCCGCTCAAGCTGTGACATAGGATAGTTACATTACTTTACAATGCTAGCAACCCGCTCAAACTGTGACATAGGAAAGTTACATTGCTAGCAACCCGCTCAAGCTGTGACATAGGATAGTTACATTACTTTACAATGCTAGCAACCCGCTCAAGCTGTGACATAGGAAAGTTACATTGCTTTACATTGCTAGCAACCCGCTCAAGCTGTGACATAGGAAAGTTACATTGCTTTACATTGCTAGAAAACTGCTCAAGCTGTGACATAGGAAAGTTAGATTGCTTTATATTGCTAGTAACCCGCTCAAGCTGTGACATAGGAAAGTTACATTGCTTTATATTGCTAGTAACCCGCTCAAGCTGTGACATAGGATAGTTACATTACTTTACAATGCTAGCAACCCGCTCAAGCTGTGACATAGGAAAGTTACATTGCTTTACATTGCTAGCAAACCGCTCAAGCTGTGATATAGGAAAGTTCGAAAAAATGTAATACTACGGAATTAACACACTAGCGCATGACGACAAGGTGCTATTTAAATCGCACGCGGTGTCTACCTAATTTTGTAAAATTCATGATTAAAGGAGTGAAACTTCTGATGGTTAGTACTATTACTTATTCTGTGATAGTGCCTCACTACGTGCTGCAGGTGCCTCTATAAACGTTGAGATTCGAGAATAAATAATGAATTAATAAAACACGATATAACCTGTTGTGCAACTCTAGCGAGTGTTTCAGCCATGACCTTGCCGGTCTGGTCCACCATAGACCGCAGGAAGCCGTCGCTCTTCTTCAGCAGAATGTGCGGGTGATCGAATTCCACCATTTGTCCAGCATCCATCACCAACACCTGAAATTATAAGATTATTAACAAAAAATATTACTTGTGCAAAAAGACACAAATCGTCCAACTATCTTCAAAAATCATGACATTTATTGACAATGTTCCTACCTCTCAGCTTCTTATTAAAGTTTTTTTATAATCACACACTATTCAATTTTATTATTATACAACATGTAACAAAAACCCTGTGGTTCCCGTTAACTACTTTATCAGAATCGGTATCCAAGCGTACAGAAATATTTTTTTCCAAAAAACCACATTTGAAAAAAATTATTTTAAAGAAAAAAATTAATTTGCAAATTGTGTAAGGTTTTATTATCTCTGCATTGGCCGAGAAGTAAAAGGATTGTCAAAGATTCCGCATTACCAATACTCGAGGAGTTAGAGGAAATAAAACCTCATAAAATTTGTAGATTAATTTTTTTTTTCACTAAAATCAATTTTTTTTAAATGTGTTTTTTTGATTAAAAAATATTTCTATACGCTTGGATACTGATTCTGATAACACACTTACGGGAACCACAGGGTTTTTGTTACATGTTATATACTACAATCTATTCCACGCACCATTGTGAAAACGTAAGTACGGTATCAGTCAAACCCGAGTGAAGTCTGATACAGCAATCATTTCACTACTTTCTTTCTTACGAAATCGTACAGCGTACTAGATAAATATAGATATTCGAATCAAAATAATAAATCATGTAAACTATACCTTATCTGAATCCATAACAGTGTGAAGACGATGCGCGATGGTAAGGACTGTACAATCAGCAAATTTGTTTCTTATTGTGGTCTGGATTAATGTGTCAGTCCTGAAAACATTTTTAATTAACCATTAGGAGACCGAGGTTACGATATTCGTAAACAAGTTCTACAGGCGTGTCTAAGATATTTATGGTAAGGCTACGACTTTGTTTTTATTTATAGTCATAACCATACAATTATTATTATTATCACATATTTTTTATATTACTCGTTCCGGAATGAAGAAATAAAAGCCTCGGCCAGTAAATAAGGGCTAGTTCAGAAGCACACATAAGCGTGCATACAATATAATTGTTTTGTAGTTTGGTAAGTAAAAAGTTAAATTCCGAACGGTAAAATTACAATTCCATACAAAAGCACCATCACACAAGTAACTGGCAAATACAATAGGTAGGATTTTTACAAAATCTGGCATAGGTATGGGTATAACTATGCGCTGATCCTTAGTTACCCATTAAAAGAAAAATAAATATTTTTGTAGCAGATAACTGAAAGACATAGTTGACAGGTTCTTTTTCTCATGACTACAGACGTTCGCTAAATTCTCTGCGCGATGTTCTTCGCATGGTTACTATGTTTGAAAGGCCCAATTACCCAACGTAATGGGCGGTGTTTAAGGCCTTAATGCAATTTTATTATAAATTCTTATGAAAGCCTCAGACCATAGAAGAAATAAAGACGGAGCGATGCGTACGTTTCAAGTGACGCCGAATCAAAGCCAAATCATGCTTAATTTCTAATAAGATTACGTACTCGCGCACACATACGTGTTAAAATCATTTGCAACCAACAATATTATTTTAGGTGTATATGTGTGCACCCAGCACTGGAGTTTTACGGATTGTTAAAGAAGAAAAAAGAAAGCTGTATGCGAATTTTAACATCTAGTAAAAGTCTTTAGGTTCTGTGAACCTCTTTACTACTTAGCATTGCTTACACTACTTTATTCCGGACTAATAATAATGTCCTCCAGACCGAATTTCGGCCACGGCGGCCAGCCTCAACGGAGGCGCAGGACAGGATTATAGTTCCCAGGTGAGAGTGCAGCGCACAGGTGCACTCTCTATTCCTTCACTCTCATAATCCGATGGGACGGTAAACCGACACGACCAGAGAGAGATCAAGCGCAGGACAAACGGCTTTACGTGCTTTGCACGGGGGTGAGACACCACCAACTTCCTGACTCCGGGCAGCTACTGAGAATTTCTTGACAGAAAAACTCAATAATTGATTTTTTGCCCGACCCGGGATTTCATAATTACCAGTCGCACTACTATAACCACTAGACTAACGACACAGAGCCGATTCCGGGCTAAAGGGTATAAAGAGCCATATAGTTATAGACTATGAGGCATTCAATCTTTGTCCTCAAGAGGTGATAGCGCAACCTTTTTGGTTTGAAGTTGGCAGCAGGTGTCCACGGACTGCAGCAGCCACTCACCATCAAGCTGACAGTAAGTTCATTTGTCACTATAGTTTTTAAGCGGCTTAATTTTAATATTGTTGCGTGAATAAGTCAACTAGCGCCATCTAGTGTCAGGAACGAGAGCGAGGGGAGCTTTGCAGAAAATGACATCACAAATCTATCAACCGACAGCGCCATCCGAAGAACTAAGTTTCTAGAAAATCTACACTCGCACACTCGTCCCTTTGCGCGCATTTACTTGAATATTCCGGATGCTTCTTTGCTAATTTAAATAAATAGGCGCTGCAAGATGCGATCGAGGCAGTATTGAAGTGGCGAAACAAGCGAAGCTTCGGAGCGGAATAAAGTGAATTAGTGTGTTTAATTATTAGTGTTTTAAGTTTTAATTTGTGTAAAGTAAATTAAGAGGCTTTAATTTTTCTATACAAGTTAATCTTTTTAGTTTTTTGAAGTCGGCTTTTACTTAAAATAAAAACATATAAGTCGATTGAGGATAGAATTGTTTTTGTGTAACAGCGTGCAGTTGTATAAAGGAAGTTGTATAAATGTGGTGGGGAGACTGACTGCGGGTCGACGTTGGCGGTGGCCTCGTCGAGCACGAGCAGGCGGTTGCGGCGCACGATGGCGCGCGCCAGGCACACGAGCTGGCGCTGCCCCACCGAGAAGTTGCCGCCGCCCTCCGACATGCGCGAGCTCAGCCCCGCCGGCAGCTCCAGCACCGCCTCCTTCAGCTCCACCTGCCGACCGCCACGCACCACACGCCCGCTTACTCTTAAGTACGACTGTATGTCTTCTCATCATTTGGACAATCAATTACCCGCCAAATCACGATATGCCTAATAGAAAGTCCGGCGAATCAACGAAACTTATTTGTCGATTTTTCAGGTAAAAAATTCGTCTTTGTAGTCCGATTGTTAGAATTGGACCAGATCATAATCTGCCAAGGCATTTCATGATTTGACCGATAATTTATAACTTTGTTATTGTAATTAATCTAGTAATATCAGCAACAGCAGATTTAGACGCAACTGGGCCTGAAGCCGCGTACATTCATATATTATATAATATTTGGTGCTTTGGCAAATAAATCATCGCCCAAATCATGAAATAACAGCGTATCTAGAAATGCCCAGGTAGGTTACAATCAGCTCAATTCCACTGTTGGACTACGAACGTATACCGTTGAACAATTTGGCGGGTATTGGATTGTCAATCATGAAAAGGTGACATTCCACGAAATGCCTAGCCTAATCATTATTTGGCCAATTTAACGATCAGACAACGTGGTATACACTCCACCCGACCGTGTGTAGGTCGTGTGGAGGCTACACGTGAGGTACCTACGGGCCAGCCAGCTGGTGTGTATATGTAAATATTAAATTTATTAATAACTTGACTACAGTGCCATCTACATATCAAACACATAATACTCCGTGGTCAAACATTCGCACAGAGCAATAAGCATATAGTCACTACATTTTAGCACAGAGTAGAGATTATCGCCAAAGAATTTTAAAATGTAGGCGACAAATAATTACTGGCAGATTGACTGAATGAACTGTAAATTTTGTTTAAATTTTCAATAATAGATATTTTAGAGGACTTCTAAAAGCAGGTAGTACTCAATTCGATTGTGTTTTTTTTTATGTGTGTTACCTCAGAACTTTTTCCTAGATGAACCGATTTTGATTATTCTTATTTTATTTGAAAGCTTGTTACGTTGTGCTTCTAGTATCGCCCCATACAAATTTGATCAAGATCTGACCAGTAGTTTTTGTAATGATTTCTTTATTTACTATATTAAATTTTGGTTTTATCGCGTTTATTTTAATAAACATAAATCTTTTTTCAGTATTTTTGTGTTATCCTTAATAATGCGTATTTGATTGACTTCAAATATACATTGATGATGTTCTCATTTTATTTATATTGAAGTCGGTTGTACAATTTTTTAATTATACCACTTGTGTATATTAGATAACTGTGTTTTAAATGTTAATGTGCAGTTGAAAGTGAAATGCAACTTGCTTAATAATGCGGATATATGATCCACCTATATATATATATATATATGCTTTAATGTTTATCTCAGACTCAACTTGTTCAATAAAAGACTAAATCGATAAAAAATTAACGAAATTACTTTGATTTATATATGATAAAAGTTTTTTTTATTGTGAATCCATGGATTTTATCTTTAGCGGTAATGACATTTTCATCTTGCCCTTGAAGGCTTTTATTCAAGGCAATTTAAAGTTTTGAATAAATGAGAAAAGGAAAGGCCAGTTTTAAAAGAAATTTCGAGTCACAAATGATTTTGGAATATTCTGACTTCGCCTTTTATAAATGTACCAGAATTTCAGCTCAAAGCTTGATAACTCTTGTCAGTGCTTTATCTTTGGATAACCACCTGTGTGATAAAGAAAATTTTGATGCAATAAACCCATATCTTCAGGAATGATTAAAAATTATCGTGGCCTTTAACCATTTTCCTTTAATAGAATTTACTATTTTTAAATTATATTGAGAACTTCTTTGTATTCCTATGACAAGGTTTTGGCCGCAAGAGCTTGGCAATGGAAAAAGAAATGCAACTAAGAAGAGTTTGGCATCAGTTCTTTTAGTCTAGTAATTAAGTGAAGATATCTGCAGTTGAACCAGAGTAACAGACACAGCCCAATGAATAAGTAAACTGAAGTGGGAATGGGCCGGTCATATAGCTCATAGAATCCATTACCAATGGGGAAGAAAGGTTCTAGAGTGGCAGCCTCGTACTGATAGGCGAAGTGTAGGGCGATCCCCCACTAGATGGCAGTGACGACCTGGTAAGACATCCAGGAAGTCGATGGATGGATGTGGCACAGGACCGTGCGTTGTGGCATTCCTTGGTGGAGGCCTACGTGCAGCAGTGCACTTGTGAAGGGCTGTAATGAATTAATGAATGGTAGTTAAATCGCTCGCCGTTCGTCGATCGCCGTCGTTGCTTTTACTCTGTCACTACAAATAGCTCTGCATTTCTTTGCCCAATGCGCATTGAAGTCTTATATAGCTTCAAGGAACGTGTTATATAAGCACTGACATGTATTCGGGGGCAAGAGCTAATAAAACAGAATTTCTTCCATCAACCTCTCACTTCATTCATAACATACAAAAGCTACAAACTGTGTACAACCTGCAATATCCGTAAATTTATCAAACTGCTATGACATACATAAAAGTACTTTCTTTTATTTTTTCTATGACTTGATCACGGACATCGAACGCCATATCACTTATTCGGCGTTGCATAGTCGTCAGACAGAGCTATACTTTTGAGCTTTTTAATCTCTTGTTTGCCAAATATAATTTCAGAAAATTTAATTTTCCACAACACTATGAGGTTTTCCTGCTTTATCCATACGGAAAACTACTCGATAACTAGCTAGAAATGATTTTTCATTGGGTTTGGACATCTGTCACACCAGCTTTTTGATGTTGAACGACTTAATTTTCTCTCAAATAATTCCAACAGATTTTTTTTAAATATGCATGTTTTGTCTTGAGATGGCGCACTAGTTTTGACGGCTTCATTGCTTTCTCTTGATAAGGTTTCGTAACAACGCACTGCGGTTTATTTTCAATCATAGTAAATCCGAATTTTAAGTAATCCTCGTCATACAGACGCTTTTTCTTTAGTTTGGTCTCGCTAATCTCACTAGGCGTTGACAGTTGTGTTGATCTTTTTAAAAATTTAGCCATTTTAATTATAACAACAAGGCTGTTTAATAAATTCAAATAAGTACGTTAGTTCAATATTATTAAAACACTATCTTGCGCTCGTCAAAGAAATGCAGACCGAGATCGTCGTCTATCGTGTTGTTCGTGAGTGCCACTCTGTAATTCCGCGACGCCCTTGCAGTGCTCATTTGTCTCCCTCATTCACTTGACTCTCATACTCGCCAGTGGCCGCACCGCACTCGTGAGCCGTCATCGGCCTCCCACGTACGCATGCTTTTTGTATATACATAAAAATCACACCATTTTGCATGATCCTGACACACCTTTCTCGCCTCCTTTATCTCTATACACCTACACATAATTGTATGCTTGTCGCTTAAGGGTACTCTTAATCTCGCCAATCTTAAATATATGCATATTGTCAGCTCTATTATGGTCGTATCACTTATCCATGAAGATGTTTTGCGACGCAATCGATGTACAAATGTCTGTTTTGGGCACATACTTATATATTTAATTGATACTTGCTAATAAATAAAAAATTTTAACGGATTTGACATTTGCATTATGTCAAAATTAATACACAATATGGTGGTGGTGGCAAAATATTTTTACATGCTGCCCCCCAGCCTCACGCAAATTAATCGTGTCACGAAAGTTATAGAAAAACACTTTTACATTGCAATGAAAAAGTAAACAGCCTTACGACCATATAACACCAATGGTTGTGATCTAGGTGTTCGTGCAACATAATTTGTCCTAAGTTCACGAACAAGAAAAGTTAGTAATATTTCTAATTTTGTAAGTTGTTTAACAGGTTTTGTCAGCAATATCAAATAATAAAACATATTTTTTATATTTCAGAAAATACGTACGTGCTTCATTGGTTTCATAATGGAATTTTCCGACTTGAACAGTTTTAAAGAAACTGTAGGAATATTGTGTAAGAAAGGGAGAAGTAATCGGAGGCTAAAACTTTTTCTTCTCCTAATAGTGTTTGCTTACACTATGGTCCACTTATGGGTAACGTTATTAATTTCATATTTATATTGTTTTTATTAAAAAAATTACATATAAAAATAAAATTTGCCACGGTTTGGCCTTTCGTCTAAAGAGAGTTTTGAAATAGGGGGTCCGCTATGCTACTGACGTATGTTATATGAGTTTTGTCACTGAACTACAATGTCTCAATGTACTCAGACCAATTAACTAGTAAGTATAGAACATTCCGCTCTAAGAAATGAGACACGCAATATGAAGACAATTCGATAATTTGAAGGCTTGCGATCGGAAACCTGCTGTAAAGACCGATTTACACTTCGACAAGTACAGTTGCGAGTTTAGTTACAGGGCAGTTGACAGTAACGGTTAAGTGGGCAGTAGCGTTCAAATAATGTCTTCGTGGCGAGTTTAGTTAAGGACATTAGTTGATAGAGTTCGTTGGAGTATGACGTTCCAAGACTACAGAATTTTTCCGGTTTTCGTTTAAGATGGTTCTAGGATTACGTCAAGAATTACATAATCTAGTCAGAAAGTATTAACGGTTGTTGTTAATGAGTTTCTTATATTTACGCGAACACTACACATTGAAATAATACTAGTTTTTTACGGAATTTATCGCGTATATTTAACTTTATTAATACCCGACGTTTGTACAAGCTTGTACAAGCTTGTGTAAGTTTGTACGAGTGTACAAGCTTGATTGTGAATGTGGTCTCTCCTACATAGGACAAACTAAAAGATCAATAAAAACCCGCGTTAAGCCTTTGACTGCCGTGTCGGTCACTTTGTACGGAGTATTGCATTTAAAACGTGACCGACGGCAGAGAATGTGTTAAAGAACATATAGCTGATGTGAAGAATCGACGCTCCGGGAAGTCTGCAGTCTGTGAACACGTACAGGATCGCCCCCGTCACTACATCAGATTTGATAGACCACAAATCCTCGCTAGAGAACACCGATTCCTTCCAAGGATGATTCCCGAGGCTATTGAAATCAAAAAACACCCTAATTTCAATAGAGAAGATGGCTGGGTGCTACCATCTGCTTGGGATCCTATAATAAATAAAATTAAATCCCAACCCAAGCATACAACTGCAAGACTTCAAGATACCATAAGTTCATACTGCATAGATCGGAACAAAAGTTAAATTTTAATCTATGGTAACCGCGGTTAACTATGACATATGGACGTTGAACATCTCAGTCCCGCCCGTGACCATGAGTGCTGTAAAGCGTTCGAAACGTCGGGTATTAATAAAGTTAAATATACGCGATAAATTCCGTAAAAACTAGTATTATTTTAACGGTTGTTGTTAAAGAAGTTTTTAAGAATTTTCATGAGTGCAGCATCTCGAGCAGGTTTAATTTTACAGTTTCAACTTCTATTATTATATAAACATTCGTGTTCTAAATACTCCTGTACGAATTTTTACGTGATATCTTCAATCAATTTTATTATTAATATAAAGCTCAATATAAAACGTATAAATATTCAATAAACAGTATCGTACAAACTTTGTGGCGAGTTTCATTATAAAAGCACAATTGTACGTTATGGCGCGCAAACGTTGCGTCCTGCCAACTTATGCGCTGAACTAAACTCGCTCGTTTACACGAACGGCGAGTTTAGTTGCGGGTGGGGGGAGATGCGCGGGAGGGCAGCACTTCGCACTTAACTCGCCGAAAAATAGCTCGGCCGGCTATCCCGTTCAACTTAATCGTTAACTTGCTATTTAACTTGCTTATTGCCGTTCAAACGAGGTTCAAACTTAACTCGCCAGGTTCGCAAGTTAACTCGCTATTGTACTTGTCGAAACGTAAATCGGTCTTAAGAGAGTGGGAGCGCGTGACTTAAAATTAGTGTAACAAAAAATTCGTGTAACATAATTTGTCCTAAGTTCACTAAAGTAATTTATGATATACGGCTACTCATATTATCGTACAAGTGCAATATGGTTTTGGCATTGTAAGACTATAAAATTGCTTGACCTTGACATGTCGAGAGTAAAGCACTACTTCAAACACTTCGGGATATGAGGCGTGCAACAATGTTTTATACGTAATTACATTTATTAGTAGCGATCATTGACCCCTACATCTTGAACGGCTCGGTATGATTGCAAACTGTCTGCGTGAAGTTGCACAGCTTTTTTGCAAGGCGTTGAATTGTTTCGCAGCATTCAGAGTAATTTCTTGAAAGCTTTATTGAAAGTACTCAAAAATACATTCCTATAAATTGACAGGATATAGCTGCCGTGAAATTCCTTGGCATCGGTTGGTCGGATTTTTGTAACTGTTAGTTCGTTACATGATCTATACGGTATTTGGATATGGATGTTGTTACAAATGAATCTGAGTTGAGGTTTTTGTATAGTGGAATTAAAAGATACATATTAAAGACAAAAATTGTCTGACCTCTTCCAAAGCACGCCAGAGCACCTGGTCCGGGTACTCGTCGAATGGATCGAGGTTGTGTCGCATGGTGCCCGAGAACAGCACAGGCTCCTGCGGGATGATGGAGATCTGGCTGCGAAGCTCGTGGAGCCCCAGCATAGATGTTTCGCGTCCGTCGATTATAATCTCTCCTTCGAGTTTTGCCAATCTGTACAGGTAAATTTAATGATAATACTATTTAACATATTTTTAATATAACCTGTAACATCTGGCTCCAATGTTAAGAAATTCAGTAAAGGATCAAGGCGCTAAAATCTCTTCGCGTACCTGAACAAGGCGTTGATGAGTGAAGACTTGCCAGCGCCGGTTCTGCCTACGATGCCAACTTTCTCCTTGGGCAGTATGAGGAAGGAGAGGTCCTTGAGCACCGGCGGCTCACTTGGCGCGTAGTACAAGAACACGCGCCGGAACTCCAGGCGGCCCGCTTCCGGCCAAGATGGAGGGGGCTTCTTACTGGGCTCGGACTCCAGGGGCGGCTCCGATTCTATTGTCGAATATTCCTGTATCCTGTAAATATTTATAATAATGATGGTTATAGAAGTTGGCCATCGCGTTCAAAAACCGTGGATAGTTCTAGCCTTTCGAATGTAAATTGATGTTAACATTTTTCATACATACTAAATCGTTGGTCAGCCTTTTATGTCCTAATTTCTCTTCAAGTAAACAATTACTTCTCAAAACTGTATGTAAAAAACGACAATAGGGACGAATTTCATTTAAATGGTTGGCTATTTAATAGTGGCTAACGGTTTTTAAATATTTAAATGAAAGCAATGGAGTTCAATGTATTATTCCACCTAACACTTTCAATCACCTTATTTCCATGATTAAATCTTAATATATTGCTTTTTAAATTTGAGCAAGAAGTCTGATCAGGTTTACTAGACTAATCAAGTGACTAAATTAATGAAGTACCAAACATGGCAATTATAGAGAAACAAACAATTCAGCGAATCCTACCTTTAAGCATTTCATAGACAAAAGATACCTCCAATTTGACAGACACCAGGGACTGTTAAGTTAGTTAGTCCAACCAGTTCTTATTTATAACCCTTACTTATGTGTCCAACTTTCAAAAAACATAAATTCTATTCTATTTTAGTCCTCAAAGGTGACGACAACGCATCTGTAGCGTTCTTTGTTTGATGTTGGCTGCGGACACCTGCAGCCAACATCAAACAAACAAGTACACACAGCAGTAGCCACTTAACGCCAGGTGGACTGTAACTTTGTTTGACACTTCAGTTTTATAATTTAGTTTTATTTAAAGTGGCACTCATGTAACTTTCAAGGACAACAAATAAAAAAATATATAACATTCAATGTTGAATTCATTTTGATAAATAACCCAAATGCCGAATGATAGATTTCGGAGAACACTGTTTGACCAAATTATTCTAGTATAAGATTTTGAAAACCAATTTTGAATCTTTACCTCTCAACACTAGTCATCTGGTTTTCGAGTTCGGTGGACTGGCGCATCCCCCACTGGAACATGCCCGTCAAGCCCATCGCTTGCGTAATCGCCAGACCCACGTTACCGCCGTATTCCTCTGTATTAAAGTTTAATAAGTGCAAGAATGATAAATGGATTTAAGAAGAGTCACTTGTAATCGGGTCACTAAAAGAGTGAGTTTGCACAGATTCATTATTTAATCAATAACTTTTTAACACCCATGTCATGGGGTTAGGGATTCTCCTACAAATGAACCATTATATTACTCGGAATTAAATTACAATATATACTGCATGACCTTTTTACCGTCCGGAAAAAATAGGGTATAACATGTGAACGGAGTAGAAGCCTATGGCACTGATATTTTACAAAAAATAAAAACCACAATTTTAAATTAAATTAATTTACTAGGCATCTTTGGCCTTGTCACTTAATTAAAATTTTTGGTTTACTTTTTAATCTGTTCACACGTTACACCCGATTTTTTCCAGACGGCAAAAGAGGTCATGGTATATATATACATATACATATTTGTATATACATTAGTAACGATAATTAAAAATAATTGATCGTCAAATCGTGAAATTCTTAAAATGCTAGGAACATAAATACAACTATGATCTATGAACTAGCATCTAGCATAATGAGGTCAAGTCTCACCATTGTGAACAAAAAATAAAAAAAAATGTTAGGATATAAAAGTTATAATTAGAAATTATAATTATAATTATTTAGAATTATAACTTAATTACAATTATGTAGGTTGAAACTGTTATTGAATAAGTACATATTTGATCATTAGTATATTTACACTGATGACTTTTTATGCCCAAATTTAAAAATTACTTCTTCACTTAGAGACACACAACAGCAAACTAATAAAAGATAAAATACTATTAAAAGTTATAAAAATAATTTAGCTAATTCCTAGTAATATAAAAATTACGATAATTATTAATATCTTATATTACCAGAAATTGGAAAAAACAGGAATTCCTATGTTGTAAAGAGCCAAACAAGACACTCGGCAATTTTATAGTATATAGTTTTTACTACAATTTTTTTTAATTATATATTACTTTTTTCATTTATAATTATTTATGTATTAAATTTAATTATAACCAACTAAATATTGTTCACAACATACGCACCTTTGTCGAAAACGAGGAAGCTTAGCGTTACAATGGCTATGTAGACGACGCACACAAGATCCAGCCAGAAGCCGAAAGCGCGCGAACTTGCGATGAACAAATACCTGTACATATTGAACAAATATGCATTAGAGTGAGATGTAGGTGCGATTAGATACGGCCTTGACTGCCTCGTTGGTCTAGCGGTTGTAGTAGTAGTGCGACTGCTGATCATGAGGTCCTAGGTTCAAATCCCGGGTCGGGCCAAAAAATTAATTATTGAGTTTTTCCGTCAAGAAATTCTCAGTAGCTGCTCGTAGTCAGGAAGTTGGTTGTGTCTCACCCCCGTGCCTCGGAGAGCACGTAAAGCCTGATCCCGGCACCTGATCTCTCTCCGATCGTGTCGGTTTACCGTCCCATCGGATTACGAGAGTGAGGGAATAGAGAGTGCACCTGTGCTTGCGCACTTACTGACTATAATCCTGTCCTGCGCCGATGGCTAGTCTCCGTTGAGGCTGGCCGCCGTGGCCGAAATTCGGTCTGGAGGACATTAATTATTATTATTAGATAATAATAATGTTATATATAGAGAGCTTACCATCTACTTCCTATTTGTGACTAGTTTGATTTATTCTGGTCAAGAAAATAAAAATTGATTTTAACTAACATTTAATCGAGTATTCGTTATGCAACTTCGTACAATTATTTGTTCCAGAGAAGTTTCGAATGGGAAACGAAAAGGTCAACCCGTGGGGAGCGACTTCATATCATTTGCACTGTTTTGTGATATCACTTATTTCTTTTAATGCATTGTCTTTCCCACGCACTAATTGTCACACCGTATGAAGGTGACCTGATAACGTTTTCATCATGCACAATGACTATCACAGTATACAATTGGCGGCTAACGCAGGCTGAATCTGTGTGACACAGCCTCAAAGCCCATTCAAGTTTTAAAAATAAAATAAAAACCTACTGCAGTTAGCAGTTAAAAATTAACGCAATTCTGTCTGTTTTCTTCATCACTTACCAAGCGGAGCTGTGCACGTCTTGATGGTTGTCGAACTCCCTAATGAGTGCCTCCTGTGCACCGAAAGCACGAATCGTTGTGATGCCTTGCAGCGTCGCGTTCAAATGAGAGAACACCGGGCTACGAGCTGCAAAAACACGCAACTGTAATTCTAATATAAGAGTATTGGAAGTAAATAAGAGCTACGAAATCTCGGGGGCTGAAGGCTTTGTAGTACGCGACCAGGTCATAACGTAGCGCTGTAGAAAATACAGTTATAAAATAAACATGATGAGTCAAAAATATGTCGAGCTTATATCAAGTCCGCCAAGTACAACCGACTCTTACTTCCTTAAAAATATCTAAGAAATGGCAGGAGGCCAGAGCCCACGCAGTGAATTGTGTAGCATTAATAGAGTTATGAGTCTAGTATTTAACTTTTTTACTACTTGTGCGGACATCACATATATTTTGTAATTTACTCGATTTCCCGGAAGTTATAATAATGTGCACACATGCAAGCACAACCCCATATCTTCCTATGGGTGTCGTAAAAGCCGACAGAGGGAAACTAAGGCAGAAGATGGGCAGCAGCATCTTTCTGATAACAGCAAAAATCAATAAAAAACTGCGGTTGCCAACCCGCTCGCCAAGCGTGGCAACTATAACAATATACCCCCCCCCCCCACCCCATACACCACCTGAGAAACGACTCAAAAAAGGCCCCCAGTCCCCGGCGGCCCCGCTATTCCTAGCTATGGTGGCGACCATGGTAACGGCGGGGCAGGGGGTGCTGAGAATCTCCGATGGAGGTTCGGCTGCCACCTAAGACGACTCGACCTAACAACGTATAACGCACGCACCCTGAGGACTGACGAGAAGATCCTGGAGCTGAAAGAAGAGATGGAAAATTTGCGTTGGGGTATTATAGGATTATCTGAGGTCCGAAGAGGGGGAGAACACGGTAATCCTCGAATCCGGCAGCTCTTCTATAACCGAGAGGGCGACCATCTGTCCCAAGGAGGTGTCGGATTTATCGTCCACAAGTCTCTCGTTAACAACGTTGTAAAGATTGGGAGTGTGTCGATGGGGTTTGCGTACCTTATACTCAGAATCACCAAACGGTATTCGCTGAAGGTCATACAGGTTTACGCACCAATCTCGGCACATCCCAATAAGGAAGTTGAGAAAATGTATGAGGATATTTCTAGAGCCATGCATTCCTCCAAAACTCACTATACGGTGTTAATGGGAGACGACTTCAAAGCAAAACTAGGCACAAGGAACGGTGAGCTTGAAGGTAGGGAAATTTGGGATAGGGCAACGGAATCCAAGGGGCCAGAAGCTGGCCGACTTCATGGAGAAAGGGGGACTCTTTATGATGAACTCTTTCTTCCAGAAGCGGCCCCACAGAAAGTGGACCTGGTCGAGCCCCGACGGTCCGACAAAAGATTGAGATAGACTTCATTTGGCTTTCACTTGACTAGAGTTGGAGAGGTCTCGTCTAATGAAGTCAATGCTCCATCTCCTCGTGCTCTAATCCAAAATCCCGGAACCTTTTAGCTCGAGTTACAAAACCGCTTTCAGTGCCTAGAGGATTGCAATATAGTGGACGATATGAATGACAAGCTCGTGGAAACTGTCCATGCGGTCTGAGCTAAGTTCTGCAAGACCCGCCGCAGAACACAAAAACTCTCCGATTACACTCTTAATCATGGCTGTTAGACGGAAGATGAAACTGCAGTCGTCAGCAGATTTGACATCTTGCACACTGCACACACACTGGTCTTAAGATGAACATGGACAAAACAAAGATTATGTTCAATGTCCATGTCACACCTATGCCGGTAGTTGTGGGGAGCACTATGCTCGAAGTTGTTGACGAGTACGTTTACCTGGGACAAATAGTCCGACTAGGTAAGTCCAACTTCGACCGAGAGGTCAATCGACGGATTCAACTCGGCTGGGCAGCGTTCGGGAAATTACGACACATCTTCTCGTCAGGTATACCTCAATCTCTGAAAACTAAAGTGTACAACCAGTGCGTGTTGCCAGTGATGACTTACGGATCAGAGACGTGGTCCTTCACTGCTGGCCGTATGAGGACGCTCAAGGTCGCTCAGCGAGCTATGGAGAGGGCTATGCTCGGAGTTTCTCTGCGTGATAGACTCAGAAATGAGGATATCCGCAGTAGAACCAGAGTGACCGACATAGCCCAACGGATTAGTAAGCTGAAGTGGCAATGGGCCGGCCATATAGCTCGAAGAACCGATAACCGATGGGGAAGAAAGGTTCTCGAGTGGCAGCCTCGTACCGGTAGGCGTAGTGTAGGGCGACCCCCCACTAGATGGAGTGACGACCTGGTAAGATATGCAGGAAGTCGATGGATGCAGGTGGCTCAGGACCGTGCTTTGTGGCATTACTTGGGGGAGGCCTATGTTCAGCAGTGGACTTGTGAAGGGCTGTAATGATGATGATGATGATGACACTGCACACTGCACATGCACTGCAACAGGCAACTGAAGAGACAGATCTCCAAATGCATGCGGCAGGACTTACGCAACTTTAATGCGGCTTGTATTGAAGAAGCGATCGAGCGGAACCAGGGCTCCAAAGTCTTTGCCGGAGATCTGTCTGCCAGAAAGAGAGCCAACTGTCAAAGCTGAAGACTGAGTGTGGCAGCATCGTTTCCGGAACACCTGAGATTCTGAGTGAGATTGAGAGGTTTTATGGGCAGCTGTACACCTAATCGTTAGCGCCACACGCAAGTGTGAGTAACGATTCAAGAGCAAGTCTTACCCGACACTATTCTCCCAGGCTCTCCAGCACCTTAAAAATGGCAAGGAAAAAACCCAGGTGAGGATGGAATTACAGCGAAGATTCTGAAAGCTGGTGGAACACCGATACTAAAAGTCCTTCAGAAGCTCTTCAATTCCGTTCTCCATGGTGGCACTACTCCGGAGGCGTGGTTCAGAAGTGCGGTGGTCTTGTTTTTTAAGAAAGGCGACAACGCTCTCTTGTAGAACTACAGACCGATTAACTTTTTGAGCCGCGTCTACGTGCTGTTTTCGATAGTCATTATGAATCGTCTCTCACGCAGACTCGACGACTTCCAGCCTCCCGAACAAGTCGGTTTCCGAAAAGGCTTCAGTACCATAGACCACATACATACTCTGCGGCAGATTGTACAGAAGTCCGAAGAGTACAATCTGCCACTTTGTCTTGCGTATGTGGACTATGAGCAAGACTTTGATTCCGTCGAAATTTAGGCGGTGCTACAGTCCCTTCAGCGGTGCCAAGTTGACTGTCGGAATATCGAAGTGCTTAAGTGTTTGTACAGTAGGGCTACATTTGGCTATCCGAGTACAGAACCAGAGTACGAAACCTATCCAACTGCAGAGAGGTGTAAGACGACAGGGTGACGTAATATCCCCGAAACTCTTCACCGCTGCCTTGGAAGACGTTTTCAAGCTACTGGACTGGAAAGATTACGGTATTAACGTCACTGCTACTACATCACTCACCTTCGATTTGCCGACGATATAGTCCTTATGGCAGAATCGCTGAAGGGCCTAACCACTATGCTCAACCCTCCTAAACCACCTCAATAGTGTCTATCAACTGATAGGTCTTAAGATGAACATGGACAAAACGAAAGTCATGTGTAATGTCCATGCCACGCCTATGCCGGTGGTTGTTGGGAGCACTAAGCTCGAAGTTGTTGACGAATATGTTCACTTGGGACTAGTAGTCTGACTAGGTAAGTCCAATTTCGACCGAGAGGTCAATCGACGGATTGAACTCGGCCGGGCAGCGTTCGGGAAATTGCGACACATCTTATCGTCAGGCATACCTCAAAATCTCAAAATTAGATTGTACAACCAGTGCGTGTTGCCAGTGATGACCTATGGATGTGAGACGTGATCCTTCACTGCTGGCCGTATGAGGAAGCTCAAAGTCGCTCAGTGAGCTATGGAGAGGGCTATGCTCGGAGTCTCTCTGCGTGATAAACTTAGGAATGAGGTTACTCGCAGTAGAACCAGAGTAACCGACATAGCCCAGCGGATCGGCCATATAGCTCGAAGAACCGATAACCGATGGGGGAAAAAGGTTCTCGAGTGGCAGCCTCGTACCGGTAGGCGAAGTGTAGGGCGCCCCCCCCCCTAGATGGAGTGACGACCTGGTAAGACATGCAGGATGTCGATAGATGCAGGTGGCTCAGGACCGTGCTTTGTGGAATTCCTTGGGGGAGGCCTATGTTCAGCAGTGGACTTGTGAAAGGCTGTAATGATGATGATGCAAGCACAAGTGTGGATCGTGTCAGTTTGCTATTTACCGGACTAAATAAATATAAATATAAACCGGGCACTTCATGATCAGCACCTGCGTCTACATCCACTAGATCAAGAAGGCAGTCATAGAGTATATAGTAACAATACGAAAAGTAACGTTACTACGAAGAAAATGGAACCCATCGCTCACAAAACACAAACTACCTACTATTAGTCTTTTTACTTTTGATAACCTTCAAGTTTTTATTGGATATTCAGGTAAGGATACGCTTGGAACCCAAAAGTCAGTTATAATGTTTTTAGTTTTATGTTTACTTCCCGGTAACAACTCAAAAAAATAATACACTGCAGAGGCCACCCCACCTCCCAAGGGTGCCAACTATGGCAAGATCCCCCATATGAGACAATCTATGGGGTATCCCATCTTCAGCAATATATATTTATAAGCTATAATGGATCATAAAGATGAAAAAAAAGTGGCGGATGCCTTGAGTCGTCTGTCGAATTAATGCAAAATTTAGTAAAAGAATGTAACCCTGCACCGTGGATTACACATGATATAAGAGAACTTATGGGCCAGAGGGACAAAGCTAAGCGAAGGTTTAAATGTCTTAAATCGTTCTAAATTTTTACGCAACCGCTGCAGTCGTTTGTGTCGGTATGCTAAAAGACGCTACTTTTACAACTCCCTCCATAATAAAAGTTCTACTGAGATGTGGAAGTTCCTCTGTTGGTGTGGGCAGGTCTCCGATCCTAGAATACAATGACGTTAAAGTAAATGATATAAATATCACTTTGCTACTCCTATAACTTTAGATCCTTACATCAAATCAAACACCGGACTACGGGAGACAACACTTTGTCATAGCCTTATGGACGCCACACACGGTCAGTTCAACTGATCTTTCTAACTGATCAGTTGAAACTACGACTGTTGAAATTTTTTTATATATGGGATTTTCGATATATCGATAAATAAACTTATATATAAAACTTCGATATTGATATTGTTGCGCGGTTAAGTTGACATCTGGCACTAGCGCCATCTAGTGTCGGGTAACGGAGCGAGGCGAGAGCTTTCCAGAAAATGACATCACTAATCTTTCAACCGACAGCGCTATCTGTTGTCGAAACGAAGAACTAAGCTTCTGGAAGCTGACTCTCGAACTTTCGGCGCTTTGTCGATTGGTGCGCGTATTTACTTGAATGTTCTGGATGATTCGGTACTAATGTGTATTTATAGGCGCTGCAAGATGCGATCGGGGAAGTATTGAATTTGGCGAGACAAGCGAAGCTTCGGAGCGGAATAAAGTGAATTAGTGTGCTTAATTATTGGTGTTTTAAGTTTTAATTTGTGTAAAGAAAATTAAAGTGTTAATTTAGGTAATCCTATCGGCAATTTTTATTGTCACGAACCTCAAGCTCGTAACAATATATTTATAATTATCGATTTATTGAAAATCCCATATATAAAAAAATATCAAGTCTTAGTTTGAACTGATCAGTTAGAATGATAAATTGAACTAACCGTGTGTGGCGACCATAAGAAGAACATACAGTCAGTCATCACGTTTGATGTCGGGAAAAGCAACATAAACAGTAAATTGCTAGTGTCATCAGAACGGATATAAAAACGGTAATAAAAAAAATAAAGAACTGATTTCATTTTATTTCACGTTTAATCAAATTAAATAACTTAATCAGATAATTAGTGTTCAAAAATATTAAAGATATGTTTATAGGACCTACAGGTTGTTACCGCACATGTATATAGTGTGAACCATTTTAACTTATTTGCGTGAAAGGACAGCCCTAGCGGACACTTCCTGAGCAACTAACGGCCGCTCGCCAGCCCGCGTCTCTCGTTTAGACTTTAGTCGCCTTCGATGACCGACCGTTAGTTGTAGTTATGGCCCGGCCACACTAAGGAGAAATGCCGTTAATTATATCGCGTTGATGGACGTTGAATCTAGGTGTGGCCACGAATTATCGCGATAATTTGACAACGGCATTAACATTGCCGTTTCCCGTTTGCCGATAACTCGAGTGGCGGTACACCAAAGGATTAACGCGCGAATTATCGCGTTGAAGCGGCCACACTACGTTTGTCTCATTGTGCACGGTGAGTGCCACGGGGTTGTACGTATGACTGCGATGGAGTGGAGTAATGAAAAAGCTTTTCGAGATTGAATTAAAAAAAATTACTTCAAAAATTACTTCTATACTTTAATTTACGGTATGAAACCAAGAAAAAAAGCAGGAGAAAAAAAAAACAATTTTTGCAGGTCAAAATTCATAGTGTACAGTGGTACGAAACCCTGGGTACGTGTATCTAATTCGCACTTGACTAGTATTTATGATTGGCTTATTAGTTATTATTTCATTAAAATATATTTACGTTTGTCTTATTATTTAGCTTAAACCATTGGGACATCTTTCTAGTGTAATTTGGGTGCGGGAAAAAAAAAATAAAACATATATAGATTTACAGTGTACGTTTCCTGTGCATTTTTAGCATCCACCATCTTCTTTTCCTTTGTATTCTTTTTTTCTTTGTTTATTTTTTTATATTATAGAAACACAACAGCATTAAGCTACTATTTTACGCTGGTATTCTGTGAGAGCGTGGTCCTTCCCCGGTCGAAACATTTTTCGCCGTTCAACGGCAAATTTAATGCCGTTCAACGGGAAACGACGTTGACCGTTCAAGTGTAGCCACTCATTTTATCGCGTTAAATTTAAGGCAATAATTGTTGCGTTTATGGGCATTGAAGTTGCTCGTTAGTGTAGGCAGCATTAGACTGTGACTGTGTACCTGTGTACTGTGCACACGTGCGCTATAATTCTGTCCCGCGTATATAGTAGCCCTTTGAGCCTGACCGTCTCCGGAAATGAGAATGACCTCGAAGACAATATTAACATCGTTTTTTATTAATATTGTAATAGAGTTGTGGCCGTGGAAGGAAAAGGGGAGATCTCCCGCCGGGCAAGGTGTTCTGCCCGGGGAGCGGCCAACACTCCGTGTGATAGTTCGGGGATGTTCTACATATACTGTTTATGATTCGGAATTTTGATAGCGTGATTTAGGCTTCGGTGTGCTATGCTTGCGGCGCGACGACAGCGCCGCCACAGAGTAATATAAAATAATATCTAAAAAAGTTGGCATTAGCCTCAAGATAACTTACTCACACCCTCGAGGCGCTTTATGCTGCGTGACGACGCCAGGTATACGATACGTAAACCGTAGAACACAAATCCGATAGCCACTGTCGGTATAAGCAGCCACCAGTTCACAACCGCCACCACTACCACAATACCAATCAAAGACAGTCCAATCTGGAATGGAAATACAAAAACGCAATATAATAATAGTTATATTAAAAATTGGTTGTTTACTTAAGACTGAGGACCCTATTACACGGATTCACGTCTTATTCCGTAAATACATCTCGAAAAACCCACCCTAGGGTGAATACTAGGAAACGTGTGTTCATCTATCCAACCAAGACGGGGTAGATAATTGGAATTCGTATATGTAGGAAGGTAGTTAAATAGAATTAATTTACAATCACAAAATACACAGATCACAGGTAATCAACTATAAATTGTACTGAGACTAATTTAAAAGCTTATAATAATAATTAATTCGTTTCCACGAATTAATTATCCGAATAGTCTAGGATGAGCTAGTAGTGGGATACAAGTGAACCGTGCCACGCCAGATCCATGACTGCCTTAACGGCGGCCGCTCCGTGCGTTTTATACAATCGAGACCCGAGCCCCACTGCAGGCGCAATACGCAGGTGTGCGGTGCACGTGTTATTTAATTGTTCAATTCCGATTACCCACAGAGGCGCTGCAACATATATATTATTTTTATTTAGATTCTCTCTCTCGGTTGTGTACTGTCATTTATAGAAACACGATAAAGACTGTTGTTTGAAAGGTCAAAGCTGAAATAAAATTCATACCTCACAGGATTACAGATTCACTGGAATCTTGGTATAAAATTATTTAAAATGAAGTAAAAGACAAACATCCAATAGTAATTCTTTTGGAATGCTTTCAAAAGAACGCCCAGTTCTTCGCTAATACATCTGTTGTAACAAAGAAATTTAGACAACTATTGTACCTATATTAAAAGTATATGTCAACTCAATAATGAAATGAGTGTTACGTTGATACGAGATACGTCGTGTGAGAGTTGTTGGAAGTGGACGTGTACATCTTTTTTCTAAATAATTCCTTAATAGTGACTGATTAAAATTGAACTTTGTGACTACCCAGTTAAGAGTTCTTACTATGCGGTGTAACATTACTACTCATCAGTGTTAATACTTGTGTTTATCTCATTCTTACATCGCATCTGTGAGTCTGCACGTCACCCCCGCAAGACAGCGAAATTGTAATATCTCTGTCTTATTACTCCTGACTCATATCGCAAGTATACTGTGCGTAATATCCAAGTTACAGAGATCTCCACCTAAGTGCCCATCAAACCCAGACATAAGTCTAACTACATCGGATGCTAATTATGTAAATACACGTAAGCGTTTCACTGGAGGGTATGACTCGGAATTTCTGTCCACACTAATTGACGAACGCTTTAATACATTAGACGTAAAAATTAAGGAAACTATTACAAATATAGTTACCTCCACGATCTCCAACGAATTGGCTTAAATATCCCACTCATTATCAAGCCTAAACACAACCATATCTGAGCTGGTAAAACAAGGTATTACGGATTTAAATAATCATCTGTCGGAGGTCGATACTACTTTATCCGATCTTAATGAGCAGGCAATATCGTTTGATACACGGCTTAAGTCCGTAGAAAGTCAAGTCTCTAAAGACAACTATTTATCTGACAAATTAGAGGTTATGGAGACTAAACTGGCTGCAATGGAGCAACAGCCATGCCTGAGCGCCGTGGAGAAAATCTTGTTACAGTCATTATTAATATTGGCGTACTAATAAACCAGCAAATCCAACCATCTGACATAATTTTGGCCAATCGGGTTCCTCATGTTGGTGAAAACGATAAACGACCTAAAAATGCCATAATAAAATTTAAGTCCAAAATTTTGCGTGATAATTTTGTAGCTTTGTACCGTGCTAAAAAAGGCTTAACTTCAGATCAGTTGTCTATTACTGGATCATCGAATAAAATATATATAAATGAACATCTAACCTTAAAAAATAAACAGATTTTTCGAGAATCCCGTGAAAAGGCCAAAACATGTAACTACAAATATGTTTGGTACAAGAATGGTACAGTTTTGGTACGAAAAACTGACTCATCTCTTGTCTTACCAATACGCTCACTACAGGATCTTAAAAAAATTAAGCTTTAGAACAATTTGTAATAGAAACTTGATATCAATTTTATTTTTATTCTCTTATCGTTTATTTTTATTATTACATTTTTGTACTGATATATGGCGGATACTGATATATGAGCATGTTGTTTGCACATTTACTTCTACAAAAAGGTCAGTAAGTTATTTTCTAGACTATTTTATAGAACTATACTTTAAAATATATTATGTATTATGCAACAAAATTTTAAATTATCTAATACTTTATTGTTATACACAAAACATTAACATAATTAGGATATTTTAGTCATTAATCATTATGCACAAATACGGCGCAATGATAAAAGAAATTTTAAAAATTCATCTCATCTACTTAATTTAAAATGTGTATCCAAAATTAATCTTATTTTTTTTTCACAATATTTCTAATGAAATACTGAATAAATTATGAACTTTTATTTAATGGATTCCGAAATAAAAACATATCAATTTACTATCAGAACTGTCGAGGCTTAAGAACTAAGTTGCACACTCTTTTTATGAATATTTTACTTCACGATTATGACATAATAATATTGACAGAAACTTGGCTTCATAGTGGCATTTATGATAACGAATTAATAGATCAACGTTACAGAGTATTTCGCAGCGATCGGAATCGGACGGCGACCGGCCGTAAAGACGGCGGTGGCGTATTAGTAGCCTCCGCGCCTCAAGCTCCCCCCGAGCCGCCTCCTATTGTTGACTATACCTTGATACTTATAGGTTCGGGTTCTAATAAGCTTCTGTTATGCGCTTCATATATTCCACCCGATTTAAATAACGAAGTATACCTTACTTACCTAGATTACATATGTTATGTCATGCAACCTTTAGACTCATGTAAATTTTTAATGGTGGGAGACTTTAACTTACCCAAAATTAATTGGTTTCCTAAAGATAATTATCTAGAACCTACCTTTTATAGTAACGCACGTTTATCTTCTAGGCACTTAATTAATTTTATGGCTTTGACGAACAGCTTCCAATTTAATCAGTTTAGAAATTTAAATGACCGCACCTTAGATTTATTTATATCAAATATTTTAGAATGTAAAATTATGGATGCTCCTTATAATTTGTTACCATTGGATAGTCTTCATCCTACTTGTTATGCTTTAGTACCTTTTATGCATGATAACAAGTCTATGCCAAAGATTTCACGAAGACAGTTTTGTTTTCGAAATGCTGACTACTTAGTCATAAATAATGAACTTTCTAAGGTACCATGGGACGAAATGTTCTCAGTTAAATCTGCTGAAGAGGCTGTGATAAATTTTTACGAAATACTCTATGGTTTTATTAAAAAGTTCATACCTACAAAAATCTTAAAACAATCTTCATTCCCTGTTTGGTTTAACGCCACTCTGATTCACACTTTCAAACGTAAAGAGCGTGCCTGGTTCAAGTGGAAAAAAATATGAAAACTCTTATGATTATAACGAATTCTCTAGGCTTATAGAGTACTTTAATAAAAACTACATGTCGTCAATTCAAAATAATATTAAAAAAGATATAAAGCATTTCTGGACATATATATCACAACGTAAAAATACTGCTAGTATTCCTGACAATGTTTACTATAGTGATAATAATGCCACTAATCCTACAGAAGCATGTACCCTATTTTCAATGTTTTTTTCACTCAACCTTTGAAGCATCTTCAGTTTCAGCTGAATATGATATTGATAGTATCGACTTTACACAATGCCCTGATTCACACATTAATTTAACATCTATCATACTATCAGAGGATGAAGTTCTTAAAGAGTTACAGGCGTTAAATACAAACAAGGGTATGGGGCCCGATAATATATCACCAGTATTTCTGAAAAATACAGCAGTTAATATTGTTAAACCGCTGTCTTTCCTTTTTAATAAATGTTTAAGTGAAGGTATATGTCCCAACATATGGAAAGCTGCTAGAATCGTGCCTGTATATAAGTGTGGTTCAAAACGAAATGTTCTCAACATTTCGTTTTGAACCTACCGTCCTATTTCTATTTTGTCAGATGTGTCGAAGCTCTTCGAACGATTAATTTTTAATTCTATATATCCATTACTGCATAGTTTAATCATACCCGAACAACACGGTTTTGTAAGACGACGATCAACTACTACCAATTTATTAATATATCTAACGGACTTATTCGAAAATTTAGACTCAAAACATCAAACTGACTGTATTTATACAGACTTTCGTAAAGCCTTCGACAGAGTTGATCACAAAATCCTACTTGATGAAATTGCTTTCAACGGTATACGTGGCAATCCTTGTCGGTGGTTTAAATCATACGTAACTAACCGCACGCAAAAGGTTGTTATTAATGGTTACGAATCAGAGTCTGTGTCAGTCACCTCCGGGGTACCTCAAGGATCTATATTGGGACCACTATTATTTATACTTTTTATTAATGATATTGACTCCTGTTTTCAACACAGTAATTTTTTACTATACGCTGATGACCTTAAAATTTATCGTACCATTTGTGACAATGATGATCACCTCAGACTCCAGGATGACTTGGACCGCTTTTCTGCTTATTGTTTAAAAAATAAATTAAGTCTTAATAAGTGCAAAATGTTAACTGTCACTAAGAAAATTAATTTTAATCAACAATCATATTCCCTGTGCAGCTCTACTATTGAAAAAGTACATTCTATTCGTGACCTCGGCATTACCGTTGACAGTAAATTAACACTCGATACACATGTTAAACAAATATGTAATAAAGCTTTAAAATGTTTGGGTTTGTAATGAGAGCCTGTAAGGATTTCACCAAACCAGAAACATTTATCTTTTTGTATAAGGCACTGATACGCTCTCAGTTGGAATACGCTGTAGCTTTGTGGAATCCTTTTTATAATGTCCATACCGATCAGATTGAGAGGGTACAAAAAAGTTTTTTAAGTCAATGTTCTATAGATGTAAGCATAAATATTGTTCGTATAATGCTATATTAAATAAATACAAAATGTTAACTTTAAAGCTCAGACGACAACAATTAGTAGCAATGTTATTTTTTGACCTTTGCCATAATATATATGATTGTATTCCTGTAACAAATAAATTGCGATATCGTGTACCTACTCGATCACATGTAAGATCAACATGCTCCCGTCAAACATTTGCCCTTCCCTTGTGTAGAACCAATGCTAGCAAAAGAGCGCCGTTGTACCGCTTAATGCAAAATTATAATGATCACTTTTGGGACATTGACATTTTTAATAACAGTGCTAACTCCTATAGAAGCGTTCAATAAGCTTATGAGCCGTGTTAATTAAAAACTAAATAAAATAAATCAAAACAGAATTTAAATTATATAATTGTTTGAAATCAAAACTAAAATGTGAACAGCTTTTTTTTATTTTCATTTTGTAATATTGCATATTATGTAGTAAGTCCTCCTTCACATCTCTCACTTTTGTTAATTTATCCTATAAATTATTATCTGAGGCTGGTGTTGTTGGCTTCACTAAATTTAAATTTTAGGATTAAGATTAGTTATTAAGCCTCTGTTGAAGCTGTTTACTGGTCCTTAAATAAACTAAAAAATAAAGTTAATTGCCTGGAAATATTAGAGTTTATATGATTGATAGAATCAGGCGTTACTTTGCGGAAATTCATTATAATAAAGATATTAATATTTAATTGGCAACCACCCGCTTAATTAAATACCGCGAGCGGAAGGTGCACTTTAATCCAGGTAAGACACATCATTGTATTTAATTAAGCGGGTGGTTGCGAATTAAATATTGATATCTTTACAGAATTTATAAATTACGTAATAATATTTAAAAAGTAGGAAGTTTAATTTGATTTAAATGCGATACGTAATGCGTGAACTTTAATAGGCTGTAACGGTAAGGTAACGTAATAAGTTTTTGATTAATTTTGTGGTTATTAAAAAAATAATTAATAATTAAAGTGCTTGTGTTGAACTGTACTTAGGGTCAAAAGTCGGAAAAACAAAGTGAACGGGGTGGATAGATGAACACGCGTATCCGAGTTCAACTTAAGTTTAAAATTTGGATATTCTTTAAAAAATATCCCTGTAGACAGAACTTTCCAGTGTGACCTCATTATCAGCCGAGTAACGAACTTTATAAATACAAAAAATTTATAATTGAAGCTCACTTGCAGAACGTCAAGCAGAGCGGAGGGCAGCACCTCGTCGACCGCGCCCATGTCCTTGGAGAAACGGTTGAGGATGCGGCCCGAGGGGTTGGTGTGGAAGAAGCGCATGGGCGCGCGCGTGATGCTCGCGAACATGTTGTTGTGCAGCCGCGTGGATGCGCGCATCGCCAGCCAGAAGAACATGAACGAGCGCAGCAGCGCCACCGCCACCAGCGCCGCCACCATCGCTGCACACGCCACCACACGCTCCGTGCGAGCAAACGCTTACGCCGCATCCAACTAACTTTACGTGGTACAGCCATACTGCAGCTATGTTAGTAGTATAGTTGTAGCACGAATGGGTCAGCTCGACAAGGGAAGGCCCACTCTCGTAGAGAATACCAGCGTAAAATAGCAGCTCAACGCTGCTGTTTTTCGTATGGTGAGTGTAAAAAACCGGACACCCCTTTTACTGGAAACGAGGCATTCCATCTTAGTCCTCACGGGTGATAATGCGTCTTCATTTTGGTTCATTATCGAGGATAGATGCCGATGTCTATGGGCCACAGCAACCACCTACTATCAGACTATCGGGTGGACTGTGCTCGTTTATCACCCTTACCCTTTAAAAAAAACTAAAAGGGATACTGAGACTTAGGCATTTACAATACTCCTTAGAGTCCATGGACTCTAATGCAAGGTACTCTGTGCCTCCTTCCACGCGCCTTGCACTCCTGTACTAGTACGTAGTACATATTAATTCAATGTTTCGCCCCATTCTTCTTTTCTTAATACAAATTTATTTGCTCCCCCAGGCTGAAGTTACTATATTAGGGAAGCATATATAATATTAGGAATTAACATATTAGGAACAGCTTTTACTAAAGAATATTATGATTCTTTAGTTTGGAACCTAGATCAGATCCATAAATTTAACAGTATGCGAGCAACCTGGATTCCACATGAATCGTTATTACATCTATATCTTACTTTAACTTTTTAATACCTCATTCTTGAAATATATTTGTTTTGTTGTTGTTGTTTGTAATTATTGTTTTCACACTATCCTCTTTTATAGAAGAGGGGACAAACGAGCATGCATCTCACCTGATGGAAAGTGACTACCGCCGCCTATGAACACCAGGGGAATTACAGGAGCGTTGCCGGCTTTCAAGAAAAGAGTTTACTCTTTACAATATATAAATATTAAGGCCCCTAAGACTAATAACCCCTAATGACCCCTAATGCAACCGCGATTTCAGCTTCAGTGACACTACACTCCGGACAAGACAATGATCTGAGAAGCCAAGAGGGATATCGAAGTAGACCTCATATCTGTCCGGATGAGAGGTCAGCAGAAGGTCCAACAGGGAAGGTGCATGGCACTCCACATCTGGAATCCGCGTAGGCGAAGTAACCAGTTGTGTCAGACCACATGCCAATACAAAATTATGAAGAGATCTCCCCGCATGATCGGTTAAACGTGAAAGCCATTCGGCGTGGCAGGCGTTAAAATCGCCGAGGATTACGATCTCTGCGGAGGGGATCTGCTGTAACAACGAAACTGTAACCATTTGGACGTGGTCGAATAGTCGGTCTGTTGCGGCATTACCGCTATGGGACCTATAGAGGCACCCGTAGACTCCCGGATGGTCGTCGCTGTCTACGCGTAGCTAAAGGATGGACAGGTAATGTAATGTAAATTGTATGTAAATGTACTTTCTGACATCTGTTCTCGACGCCTCGGCATCTCATCTCCTCATTAGTGACAACTCACATGCACGCGGCGCTGGCAGTGTAAAGTAATCCAGTTAACAAAGAAGAGTATGTTGCAAAGTGATTATGGCAATGATACCAAGTTGGGAGAGCCCTTATCCACACGAGAGTTGTTGACATACTGATTATGATATTGAATTAACATGCTGCTAAAGACTTACCGCTATAAATATAGATGCAGTCGTATCGTGTAAGGCTTGATCTAACAAATTGCGCATTGTCGATCAATGGATTTGTGAAGTTTTCAGTCCGCTCTAATGGGCCAGTAGTGTTGTTATTGTCTAGCGTATTCATAAACGATCGTGGAAGGTCCTCTTCCAAGTTCACCCTAGAAAAAATTTATAATAATAAATATTTTCTGCCTTAGACTGCCTCGTTGGTCTAGTGGTGGCAGTAGTGCGAATGCTGATCAGAAAATTTTCGTCAGAAAATTCTCAGTATCTGCCCGGAGTCAGAAAGTGGGCTATGTCTCATCCCCGTGCCTCATAAAGCACGAAAAGCCGTTGATCCTGCGCCTAATCTCTCTCCGGTCGTGTCGGTTTACTGTCCCATCTGGCTATGAGAGTGAGGGAATAGAGAGTGTACCTGTGCTTGCGCTTACACTTGGGCACTATAATCTTGTTCTGCGCCGATGGCTAGTCTCCGTTGAGGCTGGCCGATGTGACCGAAATTCGGTGTGGAGAACAATATTATTATTATTTTGGGTTATCAATATAGTTTTGTCATCTGGTTGGGTTCTATAAATATATAATTATAAATGATAACAGACAGAGTTACAAGAGCTGGGGTAGGAAGCTCTCCGTCATTGGCCGTACTGACTAGACCTTGCGCCAACAGACTTCCGTTCTTTACCCGTCCAGTTGATTTCTTCAAGAACGGCATCAATAAACTACCACTGCGCTGGCAAAGATGCATCGATTGTATGGATGATTAATTTGAATATCAAATTAAAATTTTATTAATAGAAAAAACTGAACTGGTTATTTACCAGTTCAGTTTTTTTTATTATGTCAATAAGATCAAAAAATATTATTCATGTAATGCATCTGCATCTAATATATATAATGTAGTGTTATGCCATTTACATATCATTTTACACTATTTTAAATTTATTTTTCCATTCTGTTTTTGATTTTCTGCATTCACCTCAAAACTGGATATTTTGCATCTCCTTTATTTCCATAGGATTCTGTAACGTTTTTAAACCATAAGAACACAATAACAAATCATTTTCACTTCGTATTTTCATGCTATCAGCACTTTTTAAATCGGTGTCGATGGAGTTTACCTTTTTCGATCTTTTATTTAGTTCTCCTCTCTAGTGCCGTGTAGTGGCGGTTAAGAATATCCACTACCCCATATCTTCCCGTGGGTGTCGTAAGAGGCGACAGAGGGAGACAGGCAGGAGATGGGCAGCAGCGTCTTCCTGATGACAACTGTGACGTAATAAAAAACTGCGGTTGCCAACCCGCTCGCCAAGCGTGGCAACTATGGCAAATACCCCCCAATGAATAAATACACAAACAGACGGCCCCCAGTCCCCGGCGGCCCCGCTATTCCTGGCTACGGTGGCGACCATGGTAACGGCGGGGCAGGGGGTGCTAAGAATCTCCGGTGGAGGTTCGGTTGCCACCTACGACGACTCGACCTGGCAACATATAACGCACGCACCCTGAGGACTGACGAGAAGATACTGGAGCTGGAAGAAGAGGTAGACAAGTTGCGCTGGCATATTATTGGATTATCCGAGGTCCGAAGAGAGGGGGAGGACACGGCAATCCTCGAGTCCGCAACTTGTTCTATCACCGGGAGGGCGACCATCTGTCCCAAGGAGGTGTCGGATTTATCGTCCACAAATCTCTCGTCAGCAACGTTGTAAAGATTGGGAGTGTGTCGACGAGGGTCGCGTACCTGATACTCAGAATCACCAAACGGCATTCGCTGAAGGTCATTGAGGTTTACGCACCAACCTCGGCACATCCCGATGAGGAGGTGGAGGAAATGTATGAGGATATTTCCAGAGCCATACATTCCTCCAAAACCTACTACACGGTGTTGATGGGAGACTTCAACGCAAAACTGGGCACAAGAGAAAGCGGTGAGCTGAAGGTAGGGAAATTTGGAGTAGGGCAACGGAACCGAAGGGGCCAGCAGCTGGCCGACTTTATGGAGAAAGAGGAACTCTTTATGATGAACTCTTTCTTCCAGAAGCGGCCCCACAGGAAGTGGACCTGGTCGAGCCCCGACGGTTCGACAAAAAATGAGATTGACTTCATTATGACGACCAGACGCCAACTGTTCAGTGATGTCTCAGTGATCGCAAGGGTGAAAACTGGCAGCGATCACCGAATGGTTAGAGGCACACTGAACCTAAACGTTAAGTTGGAGAGGTCTCGTCTAATGAAGTCAACGCTCCGTCCCCCTCGTGCTCTAATCCAGAATCCCGAAACCTTTCAGCTCGAGTTACGTAACCGCTTCCAGTGCCTAGAAGATTGCAATGCAGTGGACGATATGAACGACAAGCTCGTGGAAACTGTCCATGCGGTCGGAGCTAAGTTCTGCAAGACCCGCCGCAGAAGAACACAAAAACTCTCCGATCACACTCTTAATCTCATGGCTGTTAGACGGGAGATGAGGCTGCAATCGTCAACAGATTTGACAGCATACAGGCAACTGAACAGACAGATCTCCAAATGCATGCGGCGAGACTTACGCAACTTTAATACTGCTCGTATTAAAGAAGCGATCGAGCGGAACCAGGGCTCCAAAGTCTTTGCCAGAGATCTGTCTGCCCGAAAGAGCCAACTGTCAAGGCTGAAGACTGAGTGTGGCAAGCATCGTTTCCGGGACACCTGAGATTTTGAGTGAGATTGAGAGGTTCTATGGGCAGCTGTACACATCATCGTTGGAGCCACACGCAAGTGTGAGTAACGATCCAAGAGCAAGTCTTATCCGACACTATTCCGATGATATCCCGGACGTCAGTCTAAGCGAGATTAGAATGGCTCTCCAGCACCTTAAAAACGGCAGGGCCCCAGGCGAGGATGGAATTACAGCGGAGCTTCTGAAAGCGGGTGGAACACCGGTACTTGAAGTCCTTCAGAAGCTCTTCAATTCCGTCCTCCATTCCTACTCCAGAGGCGTGGAGCAGAAGTGCGGTGGTCTTGTTCAAGAAACGCTCTCTTAAAGAACTACAGACCGATTTCCCTTCTGAGCCGCGTCTACGTGCTGTTTTCGAGAGTCATTACGAATCGTCTCGCACGCAGACTTGACGACTTCCAGCCTCCCGAACAAGCCGGTTTCCGAAAAGGCTTCAGTACCATAGACCACATACATACCCTGCGGCAGATTGTACAGAAGACTGAAGAGTACAATCTGCCACTTTGCCTGGCGTATGTGGACTATGAGAAAGCCTTTGATTCCGTCGAAATTTGGGCGGTGCTACAGTCCCTTCAGCGGTGCCAAGTTGACTGTCGGTATATCGAAGTGCTGAAGTGTTTGTACAGTAGGGCTACGATGGCTATCCGAGTACAGAACCAGAGCTCGAAACCTATCCAACTGCAGAGAGGTGTAAGACAGGGTGACGTTATATCCCCAAAACTCTTCACCGCTGCATTGGAAGACGTTTTCAAGCTACTGGACTGGAAAGGATACGGTATTGACATCAATGGCGAGTACATCACTCACCTTCGATTTGCCGACGATATAGTCCTTATGGCAGAATCGCTGGAGGACTTAAGCACTATGCTCAATGACCTCAATAGTGCCTCCCAACGGATAGGTCTTAAGATGAACATGGACAAAATAAAGATCATGTTCAATGTCCATGTCACACCTATGCCGGTAGTTGTTGGGAGCACTATGCTCGAAGTTGTTGACGAATACGTTTACCTGCGACAAATAGTCCGACTAGGTAAGTCCAACTTCGACCGAGAGGTCAATCGACGGATTCAACTCGGCTGGGCAGCGTTCGGGAAATTACGGCATATCTTTTCGTCAGGTATACCTCAATCTCTAAAAACTAGATTGTACAACCAGTGCGTGTTGCCAGTGATGACTTACGGATCTGAGACGTGGTCCTTCACTGCTGGCCGTATGAGGACGCTTAAGGTCGCTCAGCGAGCTATGGAGAGGGCTATGCTCGGAGTTTCTCTGCGTGATAGACTCAGAAATGAGGATATCCGCAGTAAAACCAGAGTGACCGACATAGCCCAACGGATTAGTAAGCTGAAGTGGCAATGGGCCGGCCATATAGCTCGAAGAACCGATAACCGATGGGGAAGAAAGGTTCTCGAGTGGCAGCCTCGTACCGGTAGGCGTAGTGTAGGGCGACCCCCCACTAGATGGAGTGACGACCTGGTAAGACATGCAGGAAGTCGATGGATGCAGGTGGCTCAGGACCGTGCTTTGTGGCATTACTTGGGGGAGGCCTATGTTCAGCAGTGGACTTGTGAAGGGCTGTAATGATGAAAATGATGATGATGATTTAGTTCTCCGTAACTCTGCAATTTCAGGCTCCGTGCGCGCTGTTGCGCTACTTTTTTTCTATATCAATAATATCTCATTTTTCACTTAAATCTTGCCGTTTCTCTATTACGAGTCTGAAACCAAAATTTGACATGTTTTGACATCGTTATTTATCTGGTTGTCATGGCAATTTTTATTCAAATTCGTTACCGGTCTGATGTTTTTACTTCAAAAATTCCACAAAAATACTCTTTTCTTCTTGGCCATTTACAAAAATTTGTTTTTAATTTTAATAATTTCCCGTTCTTATCTCAGATCCGTCGTTGAGCGCGTAGCTCTCTAAAAAAAGTATAAAAGCCGAAAAATTGGCCAATAAAGTGAGTCTCGCTTCAGCTTCCAAACTAGAAGCATCTCCTAAAGGGCTTATCCCGGGGCCGCATTGCCCAGGGATCCTGCAAGCCTCTGCCTTCATCTGAAGTCGTCGCCTAGCCACGCCTACGCCTCCACCTACTAGTGCCCGCGCTATCTTTAGCCGCTGTGCGCGTGCTTGCTCCAGGCGCTGCGAGCACCTACTTCAGGCGCTGAGAGCATCTACCAAGGCGCTGCGTGTGCCTACTCCAGACGCTGCGTGTGCCTACTCCAGGCGATGCGTGTACCTACTCCAGGCGCTGCGTGTGCCTACTCCAGGCGATGCGTGTACCTACTCCAGGCGCTGCGTGTGCCTACTCCGGACGCTACGTGTGCCTACTCCAAGCACTGCGTGTGCCTAGATCAGGCGCTGCGCACCTACCACGGGCATAGCCTGTGCATACTCCGTGAGCGGTGTTCACCACTGCCAGGCGCGGTGTGCCACTTTGGTCT